TACAAGAAGTGACAAGTTACAAACTGACACTGTTTCCATAGTGATGGTCACATTACAGGCAGTAGTCATGGTCTTCATCATCACTGGTAACACTCTGGTGCTTATAGTTTATCATAAGGCCCGTCGCCTTCAAACCATCACTGGAAAGTTTGTTTGCAACCTTGCTGTCAGTGACCTTCTGCTTGGATTCATACTGCCCTTTCAAATTGCATTCTTCTTTTACCCTGACATGGGAAAGGCTAAATATGTTTGTCTTATGCGTTTCCAGTCGGTGACATTCGCATCAACTACTTCCCTGGTGTCGTTAGTTTGTACTGTTATAGATAGATATATCGCTATCGTCATGCCACTGCAGTACCACAATATCATGTCAGAGAAAACATCATACATTCTCATCATTTTGTCTTGGTTCTATTCCTCCGTCCTCACTAGCATGCCGGTGTTTGGAGCGAACACTTGGTCCCAGGCCCCTTTCTGTCTTTACGAACTTGTCCTGTCCAATTCTTACAGGTTTTTCTTTGCCTTACATACCATTTTGCTATCAGTCATTATGTTCTTCATATACATGAAAATTTTTCTTGTTGCTTGGTATCATCAGAAAAGAATTCGTGCTGAAGAAATTGTTGTACTAAATGCTTCACAGGTTCATCATGATTCAAAGTTTGCTCAGGTAATGGCATTGGTCGTGTTATCGTTTACTTTAGCCTGGCTTCCGTTCTGTATGATTCAAATCATGCAAGTATTTAGTTTCACTATAAACAAAGCAATTGCTGGGAATTTCGCTGCTTTCCTTGGAATTGCAAATTCCACAACAAACCCAGTGATCTATTTTTGGAAAAATAAAGGTTTTAGGAAAGCCTTTAATGAAATTCTGTGTTGTAAAAATACAATACTTGATCAAAATGGGTTTGGGATGCAGACAAACCTCCACATGTAAGTCTCTTAAACTAATTCAGATTCACAGTGCTTTAGACATATGTTGCTGGCATACCCCTCGGCAAAGAACAGGACAACTGTCTCACTGTGAGTGGTGTTTGTGAATCCTTGTATGATGAAATAATGATAAACATGCTATTTGTATCTGTTTAGTTTGACCTGAAAGCAATTTTCCTCATCAAGCAACATCAACAATGTTGATTTTCAGTGAATATGTTTACTTTGCACTCAAAGTTCGTAATTTTGCATGCTTTTATATTGATGTAGGTAAGATATTGGTGTATATTGCTGTTTTTCCTAATGCATTCCTTGTGCCTTTAGAAAAAAACATGGTAAAAAAAGGCTGATATGATGATTAATGTGTTTTGATATTTCTTATAGGATTTAAAGTTGATTGGCTCATTTAGAGTTTTTTGCACCATGATGATTTTCCTATACAAAAGATATTGTATGATCGAATTATACATAATTCACAAAATTTGCAGTTAAGTCCTGACATTGGAAAGTTATGAACTGATCAGCTTGTCAATTTCCTTCCAAAATTTAGGCAAGAAATGGCCTCATTTTGAAATTGTCTTAAAAGGCCCTTGTTTAGCTATGAAGATTTGAATAGGTCAAAAATTAATTATTTTATTATTGACCATTTGTTGGGTATAGTGTTCTATTTCATTTTTACCTGTCCAATTTGTTTAATATAGAAAAAACTTTATAGGCAAGGACCTATGTTAAATATTTAATTTGAAAATGCTCTGTAGCAGTGTGTCATGGCCTTACCTCAAGGTCATATTGTCAATGTCAGGGAATATAAAACAGAAAACAGGTGTTTTTAGGGCAATATTCTGATATTGTTGTATTATAAATATTTTCAATGTTGACTATTTTCAACACGAAAAATGATATTTTCCTTTACTTTTCCGATTCGTAATGATATATTTATTAATTTTTGCAAATCCATGGAAATTGTATATCTAGATTATAGCTAGCTGTAGTATCATTGTAACTTGGTTCAACAATGATTTTATATGATCAAAAATATCTACTGAGAATGCACTACATTTCCTCATACACTATTGGATAAATGAGTGTATATGATGTCTACTGTGTTAAAATTGTTTTGTGTAATGTTACAAAAGTAAAATTGATGTGATTTTACACCATTTTCTTGTTTTATCCCTAATTTAAGCATAAACAATTAATATACAAGTCTGCTACCAGCACAGAAAAATACTGATTTCAAGAGTTGCTCTTCTTTTTTTTATTTAGTTTAAGAAAGCTCAGTACCCCCAAGAGCTTGAAACCAAGTAGATCAATTATAATACCGTATTTATTCCAATAAATGCCCCGGGGGCGTGAAATTTTTCAGACAGGGGGCGATTAATAGAATACAAAATTTCATAAGTTGTTGGTCGTGACATGCCATGGCTGCCACTTAAAAACATTGTTTAACAAACTAACGAATTACTCAGCAAAGAATGCATTTGAAAATTGCAGTAATTCCAACATCGTTGTAGCTTTAAACATCGTTGTCAATTGCATTCTGATAACCTGAATTCTTGTATGAAATGACACGATGTCAATCATGTCAGCTTCAGTCAAAAACGTACAATGTTCATCATTGCTTGTAGGCCTAGTTTGCATAAAAATATAAAAAAACACAGCGGTATATAAGCCAGTCTGTTTCTTAAGAAATCCCACATACCTGATAACAATGTCTGGGACAAAACGAAATTACGACACTGCTTTCAAGCTTAAAGTAATCGCCTTCGCAGAGGAGAAGGGCAAACATGCTGCCGCGAAAGTGTTTCGTGTTGACAGAAAAGGAGTGCGGGACTGGTGTCAAAACAAAGAAAAATTAAAAAATCTTTCTAAAACATCTAAACGCTGTAAAGGAGGTGGGAGGCATGTCAGATATGAAGATATTGATTGATGTGATATCAATAAAAATTATTGATAAATCAAGATAAGATCAATATTGTTTTCTTCACAAAATATTTTGACATAATGAGGTATCTTGAAATCTAAAATTTCATGAACTATCATTAAAAGTCAAATTGGTAATTTGAGAATTCTAAAATGTTTCAGCTTTGGTTTATAGGGATTTTGGGAGATCTCATCATTTGTTAGAAAAAAAAAATTCTGTTGTTAGATTGACAGGTATGTCTTTGTAGATAGCTTAATTAGTTGGAAATTCACGAAGGAAATTAAAGAAATATAGATAAGATAACAAGAGAATACTTATTTATAAAAACATTATTAAACTATGAATTGATTAAACAATATCAACAAATGGGGTTTGACGTATCAATGAATGGTTGTGAGATATCAATGAACGATGTGAAATATGCAGATTGTGTATTGTTTGAAGAGTTCTTATGAAAACCTAGTTCTATGTGATAGTTCATTCCTGTCCATGATATTCATAAGGATTAATACATTACATTGATATTTGATAATAAAAAAAAAATGTATAATTTCTGTGTAGATAATTTGTCAATGTAATCAGTCCCATACATTGCCAGGGATCAGCACCTAGATTTATGGAGGTCAGATCTGATTCCAGGAAACATTGCTATATCATATATCTCACTGTCAAACCGCGAGGTCTTCATATAATTGCTTAGATTTTCTCGTCTGATTGCAGAGACTGTCACATGATAAGATAATTTCTTGTTATGCTCAGAGACAAAGATAATATCTGTTTTGATCTGTGATATGATATGAAAAACAATGACCTATCTCCAAGCCATTACAGTTGTTATGTTACAGCTACAGAGATGCTGAAATTGGAAGGAATCGTTTTTGTTTTTTAGTTTGATAGGAACATTTTTTTATGAAAAAAAAATAAAAATAAAACCATTTTGAGGAATAAAATGAAAATTTCAGTGATCACAATTCTGAAATATATTTTCATATGGATGTAGAATGTCTACATAAAACAGGATCTTATAATGGTGTTATATAATATGGAATGTATTACGTAAAAATGGGGTAGATGTTTGTTTTGTTGGGAGCCTTTGTGTATCAAAAATATCATGTTATAATCATTATTTTGTTTGCTTCTTTCATTATTCTCAACCTACTTCACTGTTTCCTTTTTCTATCTCCCTCCTGTCCATCCTGTCTTTGTGTATACAGTGGTTTATTGATTCTACAGCCTGTAATTCACTTACACAGGTCTAATATTAGCTGATTGTTTAGATTAAGGCTTGTTTGGGGAGTTTGTGTAATACTGCCTTAATCATTAACCAGGATATCTTGTCGATATTGGAATTCATGTATACAGTCTTATAATATACCGAATCTGAGATTTGGTCATTCTGTGTAGAATGTTTTCAGTGTTTTTCATTTTATGCAATCTTTTATTGACTGGAAATATAGCAAAATTTAATTACTCACAAATATTACCAACTGTACAGTATATAATAGTATACCATAGACTTAGTTTACTCAATTATAAACAGCTGTAGCCCTTCACAACTTCCTTGTTACTTTAACCACCATTTTAGAATTAAACTGACAAGTCAGTTGTACATTTAGAGGCATACACAAACTAGAGTCCATCAGTGATCCTGGCATGTATCGATTCATTTTCAAATGAGTTTGCCAGCTACAATGACGAAACAAAAACAAAAATGAAGATGGTTGTAGTGTCTATAACTTGCTAATTTGAATAACCTTGATCCACTATCAATGTGACATTTAAAAAAGTTTACTACCCATGCTCCAGCTACCCGTGACAGGTTAAAAAGTGTACAGCCCTTGAATCAACCATCTGTGACAGGTTAAAAAGTATACAACTACTCATGTCCCAACTACTGGACAATCACCCATTATTCTTTGTTGTTTTACATTCTTTACTTGTGTTGTGCAAGTGATTCATTTTGATCCATTTGTAACGTATGAATGTATAGTTCTGAAGACGGGATCTGACAGTTATAAAACATCTATATTTGAATGAAAATGATCCAATTTTGAGGTAACAAAGGAAGATGTATCAAAATGGTAAGTTTCACAAGGGGTGATTTTGTAAACTGTTGAATCAATATTCTACAATTACTTTACAGGGAACGTTTCGTATTGCAAGTGAGCATGTGATGAAGACGATGAGAAAAGGGCGAGAGACACTCCTGACACTGTTAGAGGCATTTGTCTATGATCCTCTGGTCGATTGGACAACAGGAAATGAGGGTGGTTATACAGGGGCTTTCTATGGTGGGGGAATTTCCACTCTCGGTAATGCAGGGGAGGGCCGACAGACAAAGCATGAAATGGAAAGGGAGATAACCACTAGTATGTTTGCTATCAGAATGGCTGAAATGAAAGCATCATGGCAAAAAAACAGGTCAGTACTTTGAAATCAAATATCAAGAAGTTGTCATTGTAAACTTTCAATCAGCTCTAAATTGCTATAGATATATTTGGTGTAGATATATTTAGAGAATTGTGAAATATTATGCTTGAAGATGTTATTGATTGGGACATAGATAATATTATGAAATTGAAATACTCATCTTTTATATATTATTTTCACCAAAAATAAGACATACATTGTACAAATTACCACCAATTAGAATTGACGATGGCTGTTTCAGTATGTTGTAGTGTTATGCTTTGATTAAAAACTTTAAGTAGTGAAAAGTGTGCAACTCGCTCCTTGATGTCAAAAATAGGCTAAAACAGAATTTACATGGATGGCTGAGTGTTCTAACAATTTTGCTTGTTTTGGTTACAGAGATGAGATGGTAGCGGCCCTTCCAAAGCTACAACAACAGGTACAAGGATGGCTTGGTATAGCTCAGGCTTACTACACAAACCTGGGAAATCTACAGAGCATGAAGGATTTGAAGGAGCTGCTGAGTGAAGCTCTCACAGACCTTAGTAGTACATTATTTTCTCTTAAGGACAGGTGGGTACAAGCAGCCATACACAGCCCTTGTTTCATAACATTTTCTGCAAGATTTACCACACAAAAGAACAGCAAACGAAAAAAAATTCCAAAATTAAGCTTTAAACTAAGAAAAAGGGAACAGCATTTTGTTTTGCAATTAAATCTTGAAAAAATCTATTATTCAGTTTAAAATTGATTATAGAAAATGATATGAAGATAACATTTTATGTGTTCAGTTTCTTTCAGGCTCCTTCATATTATTTGAAAAACTGTGAAATGTAAATAATTAATCAGTCAGTGGTTGAATTTAAGTTTGAGAAGAGTATAGGCAACTAAGGGAGGTATAATTCCAATTCCATGATATTTTTATCATTCTTCAATCTTTCAAGAAACTATACAGGTCTTGGAGCTCTGCAGTATATTTCTGTTGTATTCTTAATAAAAAATTATTGAAAACGTTAGAGACAGACTCAGAAATGGAAATGTTTAGTTGTGAAGGTCTGAAATAAGATGTTTTGTTATAACAGATATGACGATTACATGGTGGTGAAGACAACAAGAGACAGTGTAAACGATGTGATGAGGGAGAAGATTGAGGAGTTCACTCATTGGCAGGAGCTTCACAAGGTCAGTTATAGTTTTATATTGACAGGAGCTTCACAAGGTCAGTTATAGTTTTATATTGACAGGAGCTTTACAAGGTCAGTTATAGTTTTATATTGACAGGAGCGTCACAAGGTCAGTTATAGTTTTAGATTGACAGGAGCTTCACAAGGTCAGTTATAGTTTTAGATTGACAGGAGCTTCACAAGGTCAGTTATAGTTTTAGATTGACAGGAGCTTCACAAGGTCAGTTATAGTTTTATATTGACAGGAGCGTCACAAGGTCAGTTATAGTTTTATATTGACAGGAGCTTCACAAGGTCAGTTATAGTTTTAGATTGACACGAGCTTCACAAGGTCAGTTATAGTTTTATATTGACAGGAGCTTCACAAGGTCAGTTATAGTTTTAGATTGACAGGAGCTTCACAAGGTCAGTTATAGTTTTATATTGACAGGAGCTTCACAAGGTCAGTTATAGTTTTAGATTGACAGGAGCTTCACAAGGTCAGTTATAGTTTTATATTGACACGAGCTTCACAAGGTCAGTTATAGTTTTATATTGACACGAGCTTCACAAGGTCAGTTATAGTTTTAGATTGACAGGAGCTTCACAAGGTCAGTTATAGTTTTATATTGACACGAGCTTCACAAGGTCAGTTATAGTTTTATATTGACACGAGCGTCACAAGGTCAGTTATAGTTTTATATTGACAGGAGCTTCACAAGGTCAGTTATAGTTTTATATTGACACGAGCTTCACAAGGTCAGTTATAGTTTTATATTGACAGGAGCTTCACAAGGTCAGTTATAGTTTTATATTGACAGGAGCTTCACAAGGTCAGTTATAGTTTTATATTGACACGAGCGTCACAAGGTCAGTTATAGTTTTATATTGACAGGAGCTTCACAAGGTCAGTTATAGTTTTATATTGACACGAGCTTCACAAGGTCAGTTATAGTTTTATATTGACACGAGCGTCACAAGTTCAGTTATAGTTTTATATTGACAGGAGCTTCACAAGGTCAGTTATAGTTTTATATTGACACGAGCTTCACAAGGTCAGTTATAGTTTTAGATTGACAGGAGCTTTACAAGGTCAGTTATAGTTTTATATTGACAGGAGCTTCACAAGGTCAGTTATAGTTTTATATTGACACAAGCTTCACAAGGTCAGTTATAGTTTTAGATTGACATAATGTTCTCTAGGTTAGTTGGAGATCAAACCCCTCATAAAGATAGAACAATTATTAATTTAGCCACATTATGAAATATATCAATTGACACAAATTTAACATGTAATGTTCCAGTAAATATACCCTTACTTAGAATTCATTGTTTTAAATAGATATAAAATAAAAACCAGGAAACAATGAAAAATTCATCAGATCATAAGACATATGATGTTGTTATCAAGATGAAGACAGTGATATGTTACATATGAAGATGATTTAGTAATATGATGAAATATCAAAGAAATAGCATTTTTATCATTGTGGCAAGTTGTATGTTCTGACAATGTTCCTGTTTGTTCTCCTCACAGCATGTCATCCAGTCATTGCAGAGCCACAGCTTCCAGAAGATGTGTGCTAATGTCACCAATCCGCCTGGTCTAGGTGCTCCAAGTTTTGCTGCTGCATCCGAGTTCCTCCAGGGGGCAGGACAGAACCAAATAGTTTTACAGGTAAAACTTCCTCTAAGGGACATTACAGAACAAGATAGATTTATGTGGAGGTTGTCTTTCAGGGGCAGGACAGAACTGGATAGTTTTACAAGGAGGACATCCTCCAAGGGAAGGACAGAACCAGATAGAACTGAGTGGATGTCATTGTCGAAGGGAAGGACAGAACAAGATAGAACTAAGTGGATGTCATTGTCCAAGGGAAGGACAGAACCAGATAGAACTGAGGGGATGTCATTGTCCAAGGGAAGGACAGAACCAGATAGAACTGAGGGGATGTCATTGTCCAAGGGAAGGACAGAACCAGATAGAACTGAGTGGATGTCATTGTCCAAGGGAAGGACAGAACCAGATAGAACTGAGTGGATGTCATTGTCCAAGGGAAGGACAGAACCAGATAGAACTGAGTGGATGTCATTGTCCAAGGGAAGGACAGAACCAGATAGAACTGAGTGGATGTCATTGTCGAAGGGAAGGACAGAACCAGATAGAACTGAGTGGATGTCATTGTCCAAGGGAAGGACAGAACCAGATAGAACTGAGTGGATGTCATTGTCCAAGGGAAGGACAGAACCAGATAGAACTGAGGGGATGTCATTGTCCAAGGGAAGGACAGAACCAGATAGAACTGAGTGGATGTCATTGTCCAAGGGAAGGACAGAACCAGATAGAACTGAGTGGATGTCATTGTCCAAGGGAAGGACAGAACCAGATAGAACTGAGGGGATGTCATTGTCCAAGGGAAGGACAGAACCAGATAGAACTGAGGGGATGTCATTACAAAACCAGATAGAACTGAGGGGATGTCATTACAAAACCAGATAGAACTGAGGGGATGTCATTACAAAACCAGATAGAACTGAGGGGATGTCATTACAAAACCAGATAGAACTGAGGGGATGTCATTACAAAACCAGATAGAACTGAGGGGATGTCATTACAAAACCAGATAGAACTGAGGGGATGTCATCCTCCAGGAGCTTAACAGAGCTAGATAGTTTAACATGTAAACCTTCCTTCTTGGGGAGGACATAATCAGACAGTTTTACATGTAGGTCTTCCTCAATGTTATGTAGTTGGTAGTTGTGAGCTGGGGTGCTGATAAAGGAATTTCTCTTTCCACAGTGTGAACAGTTGGAGACTGAGATGACTGGCTACATGCAGCTACAGAGGTCCAACCTCCACCATGCTATAGATGTCCTCCACACCTACGCCACAATTGTGTCACAGGTAGGTCTGATGAGTGATGATAGAAGTGACAACAAAAAATACATGCTAGCACTTAATAATATCTGAACACACAATGTACATGTATCAAGGACACCTTTGAAATGTACACAAGATTTGGTGATGCATTTGAAAAGTACACAAGATTTGCTGATGCATTTGAAATATACACAAGATTTGGTGATGCATTTGAAATGTACACAAGTTTTTGTAACCAATAGAAAATTAATAGAAAATATCTAGTTAATAATGAGTCATTAGTTTGTACAAATCAACAAGAAATTTTAGAGGATAACAATAGAATGAAATAGTACAGTACTGATCTTGGTAGATTGTGCCATTATACAGTTTATAGGGTGTAGGGTGTAGGAAACCTAAATTTGTTTTATTTTGTTTTACCAGTTTGGGACAACTTTTGCTGACCAAAACAGAACATGTCATTATTTGTGCTGGCTTCAGGAATTACAGCATGATTTTACAAGTGAAAGGTAAACATAAATAATTGATCACTCCAATGTTTCCGTGTATCAGTGATATTTTCTTATGGGTTTAGGAAAACGTTTATGAAATATTAAAGTAATTATTCTATAGAATAAAAGATGATTAATGAAAATGATTCTGAAGTGGATTTTTTTGAATGAAACTTTTTAAGCCATGGTCATCAGATGGTGGACTGGTAAACTTGTCTAGTGTTTTTGGTCCATCCTTGAATAAGTTTTGTTATCTCCCTGTCCTTCATGGAATTTTTCCAAGTAGGTTTCCCTTGATCCCTGTTTGGGCCTTTTGATTTAAGGACTAATTATAAAAATAAAATTGCTGACAAAGGCCATCTTTGATTTGACAGTTAAAATGTTATTATTGCTATTTATGCCCCCGCCATTTATGGACGGGGGCATATAGCGTTGCCCATGTCCGTCTGTCCCGTCCCGTCCCGTCCTGTCCCGTCGCGTCGCGTCCCATATCAGTATATACCACCTAACAACTTCATTCGGACCTTTCACTCTTTAATCTCTTTTAAGATAACTTCCATCACATGACTTCCAGAAATTTTGACATAATCATGTTGTGTTTCATCCATCATTGTTCCACATGTTTCAGATGTACAGAGATTGTAAACGAGTTTCACAAATTATATGGTAATTCAGTCATACCAGCAGTGAAAATACAACTGATCCTCAACACAGAGACCAAGCTTCAGGCGATCAGTGCTGACATCAATGTCCGCATTGTTAAAGTAGGTTCATGTCAGATTCCTTCTCATCAATCCCAACAACTCATTTTCTTATCTTCAGTAATATGTCATGTTGCGGTTTCAATTTATATATCGCTGTGTAACAAGATTGTTTTTGCGATTCACTAATTTCACAATTTGGTGTCAAAACAGAAATACCAAATTTTAGTCCTATCATACTTTTGCCATTAAAGAGCAGGCACTGAAAATATATGATGTAACTCTTTTTCTTGCATTCAAATTCATCTGTTCACTATCTATATCATAATCTGTTGACAAAAATTGTGCAAATTAGTAAAAAAAACAATAACTACAACACCGTTGTACTTTAATTTTGCAATCGTGAAGTAAATTAAGTTTTTAACTGTAGTTGTAAAACATCTTGAACGTATGATTATTAATAGCATTAGGTATGCCTATGTTGTAAGGTGACTTTATACGTTTTGACCACTCTGTTTTCCAGCTGATAGAGAGGAGGAGTACAGAAACCATGGAAACCAGTGTACTCGAGCTCCAGATTCAGGAAAATGCTAAAAACCTAAAATGTTTTGTACAAGGTAGATAAAATGTTTACCATAAGCATTCTGAGGCAGGAAGTTATATCTGCATTTAGTTTCAAGTCAAGCTCTCAAAGCTGTTTTAAAGAAAACTTTCTCTAACATCACTGCCATGTGTGTTCCATTTCATTCTTAGTATTGTGATATCTTGAATGCACTCCTGTTTCATAAACTACTCTTTGCTACATCAAGATCTTGACATTGTGACATCTGTGTCTGTTATTCATTTTTAACAGGGAACAGTTGTTGCCTGTGATGTTCATAAGGTAGAGTTTTGTGTCTGATGTTTCCAGGGTACAATTGAGAGTTTTCAGTGAACAGTACACTTTAAAGCATAATGTTTACAGTATACATTGTTGTGTGTGATGTTTACAGGGTACAGTGTTGTGTGTGATGTTTACAGGGTACATTGTTGTGTGTGATGTTTACAGGGTACAGTGTTGTGTGTGATGTTTACAGGGTACAGTGTTGTGTGTGATGTTTACAGGGTACAGTGTTGTGTGTGATGTTTACAGGGTACAGTGTTGTGTGTGATGTTTACAGGGTACAGTGTTGTGTGTGATGTTTACAGGGTACAGTGTTGTGTGTGATGTTTACAGGGTACAGTGTTGTGTGTGATGTTTACAGGGTACAGTGTTGTGTGTGATGTTTATAGGGTACAGTGTTGTGTGTGATGTTTATAGGGTACAGTGTTGTGTGTGATGTTTACAGGGTACAGTGTTGTGTGTGATGTTTATAGGGTACAGTGTTGTGTGTGATGTTTACAGGGTACAGTGTTGTGTGTGATGTTTACAGGGTACAGTGTTGTGTGTGATGTTTATAGGGTACAGTGTTGTGTGTGATGTTTACAGGGTACAGTGTTGTGTGTGATGTTTACAGGGTACAGTGTTGTGTGTGATGTTTACAGGGTACAGTGTTGTGTGTGATGTTTACAGGGTACAGTGTTGTGTGTGATGTTTACAGGGTACAGTGTTGTGTGTGATGTTTACAGGGTACAGTGTTGTGTGTGATGTTTACAGGGTACAGTGTTGTGTGTGATGTTTACAGGGTACAGTGTTGTGTGTGATGTTTACAGGGTACAGTGTTGTGTGTGATGTTTACAGGGTACAGTGTTGTGTGTGATGTTTACAGGGTACAGTGTTGTGTGTGATGTTTACAGTGTACAGTGTTGTGTGTGATGTTTACAGGGTACAGTGTTGTGTGATGTTTATGTTTACAGGGTACAGTGTTGTGTGTGATGTTTACAGGGTACAGTGTTGTGTGTGATGTTTAGAGGGTACAGTGTTGTGTGTGATGTTTACAGGGTACAGTGTTGTGTGTGATGTTTACAGGGTACAGTGTTGTGTGTGATGTTTACAGGGTACAGTGTTGTGTGTGATGTTTACAGGGTACAGTGTTGTGTGTGATGTTTACAGGGTACAGTGTTGTGTGTGATGTTTACAGGGTACAGTGTTGTGTGTGTTTATGTTTGTGTGTGATGTTTAGGGTACAGTGTTGTGTGTGATGTTTACAGGGTACAGTGTGTGATGTTGTGTGTGATGTTTATAGGGTACAGTGTTGTGTGTGATGTTTACAGGGTACAGTGTTGTGTGTGATGTTTACAGGGTACAGTGTTGTGTGTGATGTTTATAGGGTACAGTGTTTGTGTGTGATGTTTACAGTGTACAGTGTTGTGTGTGATGTTTACAGGGTACAGTGTTGTGTGTGATGTTTACAGGGTACAGTGTTGTGTGTGATGTTTACAGGGTACAGTGTTGTGTGTGATGTTTACAGGGTACAGTGTTGTGTGTGATGTTTACAGGGTACAGTGTTGTGTGTGATGTTTACAGGGTACAGTGTTGTGTGTGATGTTTACAGGGTACAGTGTTGTGTGTGATGTTTACTGGGTACAGTGTTGTGTGATGAGTGTTGTGTGTGATGTTTACAGGGTACAGTGTTGTGTGTGATGTTTACAGGGTACAGTGTTGTGTGTGATGTTTACAGGGTACAGTGTTGTGTGTGATGTTTATAGGGTACAGTGTTGTGTGTGATGTTTACAGGGTACAGTGTTGTGTGTGATGTTTATAGGGTACAGTGTTGTGTGTGATGTTTACAGGGTACAGTGTTGTGTGTGATGTTTACAGGGTACAGTGTTGTGTGTGATGTTTACAGGGTACAGTGTTGTGTGTGATGTTTACAGGGTACAGTGTTGTGTGTGATGTTTACAGGGTACAGTGTTGTGTGTGATGTTTACAGGGTACAGTGTTGTGTGTGATGTTTACAGGGTACAGTGTTGTGTGTGATGTTTACAGGTTGTGTGTGATGTTTACAGTGTTTACAGTGTTGTGTGTGATGTTTACAGGGTACAGTGTTGTGTGTGATGTTTATGTTTACAGGGTACAGTGTTGTGTGTGATGTTTACAGGGTGTGATGATTACAGGGTACAGTGTTGTGTGTGATGTTTACAGGGTACAGTGTTGTGTGTGATGTTTACAGGGTACAGTGTTGTGTGTGATGTTTACAGGGTACAGTGTTGTGTGTGATGTTTACAGGGTACAGTGTTGTGTGTGATGTTTACAGGGTACAGTGTTGTGTGTGATGTTTATAGGGTACAGTGTTGTGTGTGATGTTTACAGGGTACAGTGTTGTGTGTGATGTTTACAGGGTACAGTGTTGTGTGTGATGTTTACAGGGTACAGTGTTGTGTGTGATGTTTACAGGGTACAGTGTTGTGTGTGATGTTTACAGTGTGTGTGTGTGTTTATGTTTGTGTGATGTTTAGGGTACAGTGTTGTGTGTGATGTTTACAGGGTACAGTGTTGTGTGTGATGTTTACAGGGTACAGTGTTGTGTGTGATGTTTACAGGGTACAGTGTTGTGTGTGATGTTTACAGGGTACAGTGTTGTGTGTGATGTTTACAGGGTACAGTGTTGTGTGTGATGTTTACAGGGTACAGTGTTGTGTGTGATGTTTACAGGGTACAGTGTTGTGTGTGATGTTTACAGGGTACAGTGTTGTGTGTGATGTTTATAGGGTACATTGTTGGGTACAGTGTTGTGTGTGATGTTTACAGGGTACAGTGTTGTGTGTGATGTTTATAGGGTACAGTGTTGTGTGTGATGTTTACAGGGTACAGTGTTGTGTGTGATGTTTATAGGGTACAGTGTTGTGTGTGATGTTTACAGGGTACAGTGTTGTGTGATGTTTACAGGGTACAGTGTTGTGTGTGATGTTTACAGGGTACAGTGTTGTGTGATGTTTACAGGGTACAGTGTTGTGTGTGATGTTTACAGGGTACAGTGTTGTGTGTGATGTTTACAGGGTACAGTGTTGTGTGTGATGTTTACAGGGTACAGTGTTGTGTGTGATGTTTACAGGGTACAGTGTTGTGTGTGATGTTTACAGGGTACAGTGTTGTGTGTGATGTTTACAGGGTACAGTGTTGTGTGTGATGTTTACAGGGTACAGTGTTGTGTGTGATGTTTATAGGGTACAGTGTTGTGTGTGATGTTTACAGGGTACAGTGTTGTGTGTGATGTTTATAGGGTACAGTGTTGTGTGTGATGTTTATAGTTTACAGTGTTGTGTGTGATGTTTACAGGGTACAGTGTTGTGTGTGATGTTTATAGGGTACAGTGTTGTGTGTGATGTTTATAGGGTACAGTGTTGTGTGTGATGTTTACAGGGTACAGTGTTGTGTGTGATGTTTACAGGGTACAGTGTTGTGTGTGATGTTTACAGGGTACAGTGTTGTGTCTGATGTTTACAGGGTACAGTGTTGTGTGTGATGTTTACAGGGTACAGTGTTGTGTGTGATGTTTATAGGGTACAGTGTTGTGTGTGATGTTTATAGGGTACAGTGTTGTGTGTGATGTTTACAGGGTACAGTGTTGTGTGTGATGTTTACAGGGTACAGTGTTGTGTGTGATGTTTACAGGGTACAGTGTTGTGTGTGATGTTTACAGGATACAGTGTTGTGTGTGATGTTTACAGGGTACAGTGTTGTGTGTGATGTTTATAGGGTACATTGTTGTGTGTGATGTTTACAGGGTACAGTGTTGTGTGTGATGTTTACAGGGTACAGTGTTGTGTGTGATGTTTACAGGGTACAGTGTTGTGTGTGATGTTTACAGGGTACAGTGTTGTGTGTGATGTTTACAGGGTACAGTGTTGTGTGATGTTTACAGGGTACAGTGTTGTGTGATGTTTACAGGGTACAGTGTTGTGTGTGATGTTTACAGGGTACAGTGTTGTGTGTGATGTTTATAGGGTACAGTGTTGTGTGTGATGTTTACAGGGTACAGTGTTGTGTGTGATGTTTATAGGGTACAGTGTTGTGTGTGATGTTTACAGGGTACAGTGTTGTGTGTGATGTTTATAGGGTACAGTGTTGTATGTGATGTTTATAGGGTACAGTGTTGTGTGTGATGTTTACAGGGTACAGTGTTGTGTGTGATGTTTATAGGGTACAGTGTTGTGTGTGATGTTTACAGGGTACAGTGTTGTGTGTGATGTTTATAGGGTACAGTGTTGTGTGTGATGTTTACAGGGTACAGTGTTGTATGTGATGTTTATAGGGTACAGTGTTGACTCTGATGTTTTTGTGTTTACAGAGAATGGATCAAGTGGATGCTGTAGTCTTATGGCATGGATCATTGCTGCCCTGTGTACTCTCAACAAACGCTACAACCAGATGGAGGGAGCTGCAGCAGGTAAACATTTATATCTCTGAGGCATCTCTTGGTTAGGTATTGTTACAGGACAAAGTACTGGTGAAACACATTTAGGTTGTGATATATCTGTGAGATATCTTCCTGTTATTTTAAATTAAAATACAGAATCAAGAACAAGAAGTTAAAACCGTAAATTGTGTTTTTTGACAAGGAGATTTGATGGGTTTTAAATTTTGCTATCTTAAAGGATGGAATTAAATTGTGATAAATAGATACATCTAAAACAAAACAGATATGGAAAATAATTGTCTTTGATGATATCTGTGAAAGATACATCCTTTTTGCTGTAAATGTGGTAAAAGCATGAAAAAAGATTTTATGAAATGGCTGTGAATGATTATTGATATGATTATCTGACTGGTAAAAACGACAGGTGCTGGTGACCGCCTGATGGACCTGACATCAAGGGATGGTGACTGGTTCCTGGACGAGCTGTGCAGTATGAGCAGTAACATCATGCACTATATAGACATGCTCAAAATCAATACTTGGGTAAGTCACATGTCTTAAGACTGGTCTCAGGGTTACACATGCTCAAAATGAACATCGACTTCAGGGGTTACGATCACTTTCACTCTTTGCACCCCAGGAACATGTCATATCAAAATTGAAGGTTCCATGTGCGACACCTTGTGGACAAGATTAAATGACTGGTTTGATTATTTGATGTACATCAAACAAATCTCGAGGTTGCATAACAGTATATTGTAATGACTTTGAAGTTGAGTGTGACACCTTTGTAATCTTCAAAAGCAGAGTATCAGTCTATGAATGGTCAATTTTTACCCCTCAGCCGAAAGGGTGTGGGGTATTGCAATCACGCACGGCGTCCGTCCGTCGAGCCGTCCGTCCACAATTGCATTCCGCTTATAATCTCAAAAACTACATCACTGGTCATCACCATTTTCACTGGGGATGTTGGACCTATGGACCTACACTACCCTATTGTTTTTAGTCACCGCGTGATATCCAATATGGCGGTTACGGGTGCCATCTTGAATTTGCATTCCGCTCATTATCTCAAGATCAACATCACCAGTGACCACCATTTTCACTGAGGATGTTGGGCCTGTGGGCCTACACAACCCCATTATTTTTCATTGTTGCTTGATATCCAATATGGCAGTTATGGGCGCCATCTTCAATTTGCATTCCGCTCATTATCTCAAGAACAACATCACCAGCGGTCACCATTTTTGTTGGGCATGTTGGGCCTATGGACTTACACAGCCTATTGAGGTTCTTCACAATCTCAGCCCTGCATCCTACTTTATAATAAGGCTGTTGGGTATTGCCCGCGTTTGCGGAGCTATTTTTTGCTTATGGAACCAATCAAATCTCTTTGCTTGTGCCTTCAATTTTGAAATGACATGTTCCATTACTGCAGAGAGCAAATGTGCTTGTAACCCCTGGATTATCGTGGAAAGCTCATAATCAACACCAGTCAAACGTCTTAAATGTTTAAGTAAGATATTATTGACTGGGTTTTATCCCATTTCTCTGCAAGATTTGTATTGTTATGTAAATGTCTTGTCACATTTTTGTCTGTGCACCGGTTTGTCTTGTATCGTCATTCCAATGCTGTTATACATCGGATGTGAACCTAAGGAGAAAAAATATCATTATTATATTTGATATGAATATACTGATAATGACCTTGACCTTTTTACAGGTGAGCAGTCTTGAACATTTTAAGTCCCTGGACCAAGCCCTGATGTCTACACACAATGTGTATATAGCCTTGCAGGAACTCAACATGAACTTTCGCACAATCATCCTTCCTGAGGCTCTGAAAGCGATTCAAGGCACTGAGCCAAGCGTGTGCTCTGCCTTGGAGGGGTTGGAGCGTATGTTTGCTGATGCCAGTCACCCACTGGAGACAATAGTCTCTCAGCTTGAAATTCTCCACAGGAATGCTATCATGGGGATTGAGGTTTGTGCAGTAGTAATATGAAAGATTCATGAAATATTAAGAATTTTTAATTGCCCTATTAACAATTTTCATTTAAATTTGAAACAGATAACAGGCAATCATAACGAAATTCTTGGGAATAATTTTCTTGCATAATTGATTTAGAAAGCTATAGCTGAATCATTGTCTGACAAGAAATTATTTTTCTACACAAATCAATAATGAGTATTGATAAAGTTACTACTTTTAATTAGGGGACCATCTCTCAATGGACAACTCTATAAAGAAATCAACTACTTATTTCTGCCTTCCCTCGCGTGTGTTCTTATGAATAACCTTAATCAGTAATCATTTACTCTCAATTGTTTAAAATGATGAGTAGTTTTACAAAATCGGATGAAATGGTACACATGTTTATAATAAAGATTGAAGGAATCTTGTTAAAAAGTATGAGTAATGTAGATAGGTAGTTAGATTGTGTAGTGAGTTGCTCAGTCATATTTTACTGAGACAGACATGGTTCCTTTCCTTGGCCAAACATCCATACAGATCAGCTTACCCGTTCCAGCTTGGTAAGCAGGTTTCCTTCCATATTCAGACACTCTGAAGTGATTCCTTCTGGACTTCAAGAACGATTGACAAAACTTATGAAAACTTGATGTTGTAAACCAGAATTGTTATTTAACCTGTAGAATGACAACATGGAAATGATGACAGCAGTAAAGAGGATGCGACTTCAGTATGATGACTTACTAGAGGGCCAGGACGTTGATTCAAAGGAGCTGAGTCCTGGCCAGATGTTACTGATGGGTTTTAACGGCCTGTTTACACGCCTGGAACATGAGTTCTCTGACTTGATGGAGGCGATGGACTATCTACAGGTTCCGGATGTCTGGCGCAAAGTGGATGCGGTTAGGGAGGGCAAGTCCATGCAGGTACTCATTTTGTCAGATATTACATACAATTTTATTAACAAAATTAGCTGTAACTTATAGTTTGAATCCACTGTCGAAATTGTGTGTTATTTGCTCTTTCCATACTCATTACATCTTGAGACATGGCAGTAAACATACCCTCTTTCCTTCTTGATACCTATAGACATTCTGAAATACATAGAGGATATATTTAATAGTGTCTTCAGTAATAACAAATATATTTTACAAGTGTGTCTGATATTTTTTTGTATCTTTCATTTGTGCGAAGGGAAAGCATATAGTCACCGCTTTGTCTGTCTGTCATACCATCTGTTCCTCTGTCTGTCTGTGGGTCCGTTGTAATATTGTCCGAAACATAACATAAAAACTAAAAGAGGTATCACCATAAGACTTCATTCCTGGTTGACCCCAAGGGGCTGATGGGTGGGGCTAAAAGGGAGAAGTTTACTATACTTTATGTAGTTAAAACAGGTTTTTGAGTATAACTTGTTCAATTTCCATTGGAACTATTTTAAACTTAGTTTGAATTATAAGCCAGGGATGAAGGCTTGATGGTATGTACATATTGATCCTGGTTGACCCCCAGGGGCTAATGGGTTGGGCCAAAAGTGATCAAATTGACTTAGGATTTCAAAAATCTTCTTCTCAACACCTATGTATGGAAGAATCAAATGCTCTTCATGGATGGAAGCATCTGAAGGTGGTTTACCAAAATTGTGAATTTAATGGTCACATTTCCCTGTAGGGAGGAGTAAAGTTCTATATAGTTTATATAAGATTTATTAGTATCGGATCACATTTTGTCATGTATTGACACTGACTTACTATCATCATGTTCTGACACTGGCTTACTATCATCATGTATTGACACTGACTTACTATCATCATGTTCTGACACTGGCTTACTATCATCATGTATTGACACTGACTTACTATCATCATGTTCTGACACTGGCTTACTATCATCATGTTCTGACACTGGCTTACTATCATCATGTTCTGACACTGGCTTACTATCATCATGTTCTGACACTGGCTTACTATCATCATGTTCTGACACTGACTTACTATCATCATGTATTGACACTGGCTTACTATCATCATGTATTGACACTGGCTTACTATCATCATGTATTGACACTGGCTTACTATCATCAGGTATTGACACTGGCTTACTATCATCATGTTCTGACACTGGCTTACTATCATCATGTATTGACACTGGCTAACTATCATCATGTTCTGACACTGGCTTACTATCATCATGTATTGACACTGACTTACTATCATCATGTTCTGACACTGGCTTACTATCATCATGTTCTGACACTGGCTTACTATCATCATGTTCTGACACTGGCTTACTATCATCATGTTCTGACACTGGCTTACTATCATCATGTTCTGACACTGGCTTACTATCATCATGTTCTGACACTGGCTTACTATCATCATGTTCTGACACTGGCTTACTATCATCATGTTCTGACACTGGCTTACTATCATCATGTATTGACACTGACTTACTATCATCAGGTATTGACACTGACTTACTATCATCAGGTATTGACATTGACTTACTATCATCATGTATTGACACTGGCTTACTATCATCATGTTCTGACACTGGCTTACTATCATCAGGTATTGACACTGACTTACTATCATCATGTTCTGACACTGACTTACTATCATCATGTATTGACACTGACTTACTATCATCATGTTCTGACACTGACTTACTATCATCATGTTCTGACACTGACTTACTATCATCATGTTCTGACACTGGCTTACTATCATCATGTATTGACACTGGCTTACTATCATCATGTATTGACACTGGCTTACTATCATCATGTATTGACACTGGCTTACTATCATCAGGTATTGACACTGGCTTACTATCATCATGTTCTGACACTGGCTTACTATCATCAGGTATTGACACTGGCTTACTATCATCATGTTCTTACACTGGCTTACTATCATCATGTATTGACACTGGCTTACTATCATCATGTATTGACACTGGCTTACTATCATCATGTATTGACACTGGCTTACTATCATCATGTATTGACACTGGCTTACTATCATCATGTATTGACACTGGCTTACTATCATCAGGTATTGACACTGGCTTACTATCATCATGTTCTGACACTGGCTTACTATCATCAGGTATTGACACTGGCTTACTATCATCATGTTCTGACACTGGCTTACTATCATCAGGTATTGACACTGGCTTACTATCATCATGTATTGACACTGGCTTACTATCATCATGTATTGACACTGGCTTACTATCATCATGTATTGACACTGGCTTACTATCATCATGTATTGACACTGGCTTACTATCATCAGGTATTGACACTGGCTTACTATCATCAGGTATTGACACTGGCTTACTATCATCATGTTCTGACACTGGCTTACTATCATCAGGTATTGACACTGGCTTACTATCATCATGTATTGACACTGACTTACTATCATCAGGTATTGACACTGGCTTACTATCATCATGTATTGACACTGACTTACTATCATCAGGTATTGACACTGGCTTACTATCATCATGTTCTGACACTGGCTTACTATCATCAGGTATTGACACTGGCTTACTATCATCATGTATTGACACTGACTTACTATCATCAGGTATTGACACTGGCTTACTATCATCATGTTCTGACACTGGCTTACTATCATCAGGTATTGACACTGGCTTACTATCATCATGTTCTGACACTGGCTTACTATCATCATGTTCTGACACTGGCTTACTATCATCATGTATTGACACTGGCTTACTATCATCATGTTCTGACACTGGCTTACTATCATCATGTATTGACACTGGCTTACTATCATCATGTTCTGACACTGGCTTACTATCATCATGTTCTGACACTGGCTTACTATCATCATGTATTGACACTGACTTACTATCATCATGTTCTGACACTGGCTTACTATCATCAGGTATTGACACTGGCTTACTATCATCATGTATTGACACTGACTTACTATCATCAGGTATTGACACTGGCTTACTATCATCATGTTCTGACACTGGCTTACTATCATCAGGTATTGACACTGGCTTACTATCATCATGTATTGACACTGGCTTACTATCATCATGTATTGACACTGGCTTACTATCATCATGTATTGACACTGGCTTACTATCATCATGTTCTGACACTGGCTTACTATCATCATGTTCTGACACTAGCTTACTATCATCATGTTCTGACACTTTCTTACTATCATCATGTATTGACACTGACTTACTATCATCATGTTCTGACACTGGCTTACTATCATCAGGTATTGACACTGGCTTACTATCATCATGTATTGACACTGACTTACTATCATCAGGTATTGACACTGGCTTACTATCATCATGTTCTGACACTGGCTTACTATCATCAGGTATTGACACTGGCTTACTATCATCATGTATTGACACTGGCTTACTATCATCATGTATTGACACTGGCTTACTATCATCATGTATTGACACTGGCTTACTATCATCATGTTCTGACACTGGCTTACAATCATCATGTTCTGACACTGACTTACTATCATCATGTATTGACACTGACTTACTATCATCATGTATTGACACTGGCTTACTATCATCAGGTTTTGACTTGACACTGGCTTACTATCATCATGTATTGACACTGGCTTACTATCATCAGGTTTTGACACTGGCTTACTATCATCATGTATTGACACTGACTTACTATCATCAGGTATTGACACTGGCTTACTATCATCATGTTCTGACACTGGCTTACTATCATCAGGTATTGACACTGGCTTACTATCATCATGTATTGACACTGACTTACTATCATCAGGTATTGACACTGGCTTACTATCATCATGTATTGACACTGACTTACTATCATCAGGTATTGACACTGGCTTACTATCATCATGTTCTGACACTGGCTTACTATCATCAGGTATTGACACTGGCTTACTATCATCATGTATTGACACTGGCTTACTATCATCATGTATTGACACTGGCTTACTATCATCATGTATTGACACTGGCTTACTATCATCATGTTCTGACACTGGCTTACTATCATCATGTTCTGACACTGACTTACTATCATCATGTATTGACACTGGCTTACTATCATCATGTATTGACACTGGCTTACTATCATCAGGTTTTGACTTGACACTGGCTTACTATCATCATGTATTGACACTGGCTTACTATCATCAGGTATTGACACTGGCTTACTATCATCATGTATTGACACTGGCTTACTATCATCATGTATTGACACTGGCTTACTATCATCATGTATTGACACTGGCTTACTATCATCATGTATTGACACTGACTTACTATCATCAGGTATTGACACTGGCTTACTATCATCATGTATTGACACTGGCTTACTATCATCATGTTCTGACACTGGCTTACTATCATCATGTATTGACACTGGCTTACTATCATCATGTATTGACACTGACTTACTATCATCATGTTCTGACACTGGCTTACTATCATCATGTTCTGACACTGGCTTACTATCATCATGTATTGACACTGGCTTACTATCATCATGTTCTGACACTGGCTTACTATCATCATGTATTGACACTGGCTTACTATCATCATGTTCTGACACTGGCTTACTATCATCATATATTGACACTGGCTTACTATCATCATGTATTGACACTGGCTTACTATCATCATGTATTGACACTGGCTTACTATCATCATGTATTGACACTGGCTTACTATCATCATGTATTGACACTGGCTTACTATCATCATGTATTGACACTGGCTTACTATCATCAGGTATTGACACTGGCTTACTATCATCAGGTATTGACACTGGCTTACTATCATCCTATCATCATGTATTGACACTAGCTTACTATCATCAATGTCACAATGTCTTTTTCATGACACTTGAAAGCCACTTTCCCTTTAACCTTTATATTCAATAATGCTTATCTCTGATGACCGTCAAGGTCGCTAAGCCTCTTGTTATTCTGATGTTAAAATAGGAAATTTGTACTTAAACTTTCATATGTCAATCCTGCCCAAGTTTGTCTAATACGTTTGGAAATTATGAAGGATTTGATCAGTGATTAATGCTTTCTGCATGTTGAGTCCTTTCCTATTGCTTTAAAGATGACTTCAGTACCATTTCAAGGTTCATTGGCCTAGATTCAAATAAGACAAAAGCTGGTGTAATATTTGGCGAAAACATATTCATTTGTATTTATGTATTTTTTGAAAATTAAAGTTATGTTTTAATCCCTCAGCTTTCCTCCTTCACACGAAGCACCAGGGGATACCTTTCAAGTCTCTTCTTCATCCGACAACTTCAAGCCATGAGAGAGTTCTTCCACATGTGTACCCAATTTGCCATTAATCTTCAAGGTAATCTTCTGTTATTTGTTGTTCCCCTACCTGTCAATCAAAGCAGAGGTATATTGGAATCAGGGTGTCTACCTGTTCATCTGTAGACAAGTTTGTGTCAAGCAATACTTATATCTTACTTCCTCAATCAACTTTTATGAAACTTGATGAAAATTATAAGTATTTAATGTAGCATTGGTTTTGTGATTTATTTTCTTATTTCAATGATTTTCTGGGTAGGATAGTCCCAAAACTAATGGAATGAATGAAACAATCATAAATAGATCACTTCTTTGTTCCAAAGATGTGTTAAAACAAATGCTATTTGTTCCAGGCTTAGAGGGTGGTAACTGCTTTGATGATGAACAACTGTCCAAACCCATTAAGAAGTTCATCGCTGAATATGTCAGGAAACAGGTTCGTTTCTTTCTTTTTCTCACTGAACAGAATCCTTTGTAAAAATCTACACTTTGTAATTTACTGATAAAAGCAAATTTTAAATGTGAATGCATAATATGTATCTTTGTCTGAACTTTAACCATTTTCTATTTTCACACAGGGATTATATCTGATCATCAGTTGATTGTAGAAAACTCTTTTTATGTTTGACATTTTGTAGGTGATCGGATTCCCATCACAAATCCTTGGTTACTTGGTATGTGTGTTTGTGAATGCCCTGGGCTTGAATGTAACAGCAGAGATTGATCTGAAAGATGTAGGAGCAGAGTCCAAAGTCCCACTAGAGGACTTGAGGAAGAAAGCTGTGGATGTGTGTCTTCGGAATGGTCAATTCCAGCACTTACATTTTACCCAGGCTAGCGCATTGACCAATACATTAGATACATCCTGGAGAAGGCATGACCTTGCCAGGTAAAATTTAAATCATTATGGTTATTTAAACATATGTCCATCAGCCATGAAACATTGTTTAGTGAGATGTGGACTGTATCATTATGTCAGATATAGGTCACTGTGACATATTCCACTACTGATATTGCTTTATTAATTCCATTTCTTTTACTTTGCAGTTTCCTTCATTTCATTTCAAGTTTTCACATTTGTAGAGTGTGTGAACTCTCTTTGTATTATTTTTTTTTCAAATTTTCCCATATTGTTTCATTATATAAATTTGTGAAAACTTTAAAAAAAAAAAAAAAAAACCTACATAACGTTATTCACACTACAAAATACATTTCATTTTCCAAAATGAGTAGACTGATCACAGAATGTGCACTTAAGTGTGATTGTCTTGACAGGCGGCTAGATTCCAACATTGAAGTGATGAAGGCAAGCCTGCAACGAGCTCATCTCCAGCTGACTCGCCTGCTTTGGCTGCATGAGGATGCTTTCTCACAAGGCGGTCTTCACGTCAATACACTTGCTATACCCAATCGCTCAACTGTCATGTCAGAAATGAGAAAGGTCTGTACACAAAGAGAAATAAAGGATCTGTGAATGAAATTTTATCAAGATAAATGTTTAGAAACACTTCATTGTTGATGAGATTTTTAAAATAGAAATTCAAGAGATTTAACTGATTGTGTTGTTTCAGTCATTCTTCCTAGTTCATAGTTCAATATGTCCAATGTGTTATAATGTAGAGTGCCAATGTTTGAGGAATTTGGGAGAAATTTGTTTTGAACATTATTTTTTGCATTTTGTTTAATGTTATAAGAAATAGAACTCGTACATGAATAAAAAATAATTTGTTTTTTAACAGAGCACTTTGTAGTTTGGCTATATCAATTTTTTCTTCCTTCCTTATCAAATGTCTTATGTTTTCCTGTTTCATAGTGTATGCAGTCACTAGTGGGACAAGAGAGTGGCTTCAGTTCGTGTCAGGCGCGATATGCTCAGCTGGAGGCTAGCATTATACAGAGGCTGAAGTGGGCAGCTGGGGCTAATCCTTCACTAAACCTCATTCTTCAACAGTTTGAGGAGGACAGCACTTACAGGAAACAGTTGTACGAGGTCAGAGTTCATAGGGAAAGAATAGAAAATCAAGCTAATTCTCATCAGAAGTATACTACAGTCTTGTAAAGTGTTAAAATGGGTTTGCAGGATGTCACAATATATTTATCTGATGAATTGAAACCTGTCAACATCAGAACAGCTAAAACTTGTATGCTGAAATGTGTTATGACCGATTTACTTCTGCTTGTGAAATATTTTGATAAGATGGGGACAGCTTAAATTATCATTGGTATAATGGTTTCTAGCGAAAAGTGCTTCTTTTTACTCCTAAATATTTGGAATTTTGCCCAAGGGTTTCTGCTCATAATTAAACACTAGTCTGTTGTTCTGTAAGCATGAGATATCAGGACTTTCATTCAATGATCTTTGAATCTAGGTGTGATACGTCTTTGGTTTTGGTATTATGTAAGTCCCCCAAGAATTCTAATTGGCTTTCAAATAATTCAGATTACTCCTCCTGGCTTTGCTAGTAGGATGTTGACACATTATCCATGCAATGTTATTATTATCACTTCATAATCAGCTGATCATGTCAAACTTTAGTCTGTTAGAACCTGTCAGCCCTTATTGTTAATATTGTATGTATCTCTGAATGGGGTTTTGAGTCTTTTGAGGATTTTTATTTTCAACTGTTGAAATGGATTGTTCATCACACCTGAACTGAAACAGCTATTCTGTGTGCAATGGCTATATGTATGATCCTTTCCCAGGTTGTCAGTGAGTTGCTTCCTTAAAAGGTAGCAAATTAGATGTTTTGGGTATATCAAGAATGTTACTTCTAACATCTGAAGACATCAGATTTAACTGCATGCAAAACAGCCGTGATATAATGCATAACATCAGAATGTCTTGATGATCTTGTGGTAATGTCATCAATTGTCTGTGTTTTACAGGAGGAGAGTAAACAATGTACTGAGGTGGTCAGTTTGTGCCAGGGAATACTTCACCTGGAGGCTTTACGTACCAGGACACCTGAGGCTGTTACCTCAGACACAAACTTCCTCAGTCTCATCAACAGGTAAGACAACATGTACTATCATTATAGGATCAAGACTAATTCTTTTTTAAATGTATCTTAATCTACCAGACAGCACTCTATGTCTGTTAATCATCTGTACATGTATCGCTTTATCCAAGACAATTTTTCCTGTTCAGTATTGTCCATTGCAATATTAAAGTAATCCTTTTCAGTGTTATATATTTAGACTGAGTGAAGCATCTGAATTTCAAAAGGACAACAAGATAAGGATTTAAGTGTATAGTGCTGTAAGGAACATCCCAGTTTAGTTCAGTGACATTTAATGTTTGATTACAGATGTAATGACAGTTGTGTGATAGCATCGTCCACAGACAGCACAGTGACAGAGCTAGAGATACTGCTGATGAGTACCAAGGTAAGTCTACAGACAGCACAGTGACAGAGCTAGAGATACTGCTGATGAGTACCAAGGTAAGTCCACAGACAGCACAGTGACAGAGCTAGAGATACTGCTGATGAGTACCAAGGTAAGTCTACAGACAGCACAGTGACAGAGCTAGAGATACTGCTGATGAGTACCAAGGTAAGTCTACAGAAAGCACAGTGACAGAGCTAGAGATACTGCTGATGAGTACCAAGGTAAGTCTACAGACAGCACAGTGACAGAGCTAGAGATACTGCTGATGAGTACCAAGGTAAGTCTACAGACAGCACAGTGACAGAGCTAGAGATACTGCTGATGAGTACCAAGGTAAGTCTACAGACAGCACAGTGACAGAGCTAGAGATACTGCTGATGAGTACCAAGGTAAGTCTACAGACAGCACAGTGACAGAGCTAGAGATACTGCTGATGAGTACCAAGGTAAGTCTACAGACAGCACAGTGACAGAGCTAGAGATACTGCTGATGAGTACCAAGGTAAGTCTACAGACAGCACTGTGACAGAGCTAGAGATACTGCTGATGAGTACCAAGGTAAGTCTACAGACAGCACAGTGACAGAGCTAGAGATACTGCTGATGAGTACCAAGGTAAGTCTACAGACAGCACTGTGACAGAGCTAGAGATACTGCTGATGAGTACCAAGGTAAGTCTACAGAAAGCACAGTGACAGAGCTAGAGATACTGCTGATGAGTACCAAGGTAAGTCTACAGACAGCACAGTGACAGAGCTAGAGATACTGCTGATGAGTACCAAGGTAAGTCTACAGACAGCACAGTGACAGAGCTAGAGATACTGCTGATGAGTACCAAGGTAAGTCTACAGACAGCACAGTGACAGAGCTAGAGATACTGCTGATGAGTACCAAGGTAAGTCTACAGACAGCACAGTGACAGAGCTAGAGATACTGCTGATGAGTACCAAGGTAAGTCTACAGACAGCTCAGTGACAGAGCTAGAGATACTGCTGATGAGTACCAAGGTAAGTCTACAGACAGCACAGTGACAGAGCTAGAGATACTGCTGATGAGTACCAAGGTAAGTCTACAGACAGCACAGTGACAGAGCTAGAGATACTGCTGATGAGTACCAAGGTAAGTCTACAGAAAGCACAGTGACAGAGCTAGAGATACTGCTGATGAGTACCAAGGTAAGTCTACAGACAGCACAGTGACAGAGCTAGGGATACTGCTGATGAGTACCAAGGTAAGTCTACAGACAGCACAGTGACAGAGCTAGGGATACTGCTGATGAGTACCAAGGTAAGTCTACAGACAGCACAGTGACAGAGCTAGAGATACTGCTGATGAGTACCAAGGTAAGTCTACAGACAGCACAGTGACAGAGCTAGAGATACTGCTGATGAGTACCAAGGTAAGTCTACAGACAGCACAGTGACAGAGCTAGAGATACTGCTGATGAGTACCAAGGTAAGTCTACAGACAGCACAGTGACAGAGCTAGAGATACTGCTGATGAGTACCAAGGTAAGTCTACAGATAGCACAGTGACAGAGCTAGACAAAAATAGGAAACTTCTGGAACCTTATATTTCTGTTTTAGATAAATCTTAAGAAAATAGTGTGTCCCATACATATGGAACTGTGATCTATATTTAATCTTTGACCATCTTAGAATAAGTATGCAATGTAACTTAATTTTGATATCTGATAAGTAGCAGTTAGATCATTCAAGTTGATTATAAGCTCTTTTGAGCTGCTTTCAGTTGAGGTGGATAATAGATGCTATTGATAGATAGAAAGGAGAACTTATTGGAGCAGAGGCACTTATTACAATGAATGGATTAGAAAAAGATGTGTGAGTATCTATTGAAGTCTTACTTGTACATATTACAGCCTCCCAGTGAGGATGAGACGACAAATCATGCCTGGTTACAGGAATGTCATGAAGACATTACAGAACAGATCACTCTCCTCAAACAGGAAGTCGACACCCTGAAAAAGGAAATGGACATCTCTAAGGTCAGTGTAGGGTTGTAGCTGGAATGTTTCTTCTGTCCGTCAGGCTTGTAAAACCACAGTACTTTACGTGTACTTGAATATAGAAAGCCCAGATAAAAACCTCATCCAAAACGTGGAGTGTGGATTTCACAACTGAATAATGTTACTTATACTTACTTATCAATTATATATACACTGATATATGCGTTTTCAACTTTAGCAATAAAAAATGCAGAAACTTTTAAAATCACACAAACTATAGTGGAAGACCATATTCTTTATATCAAGATTTACACAAGGGAAAGAGAGCTCATATAGACTATTGGTCAGTTATGTTGTCAATAGGATTACAGATCCAGAGATAGCCCATATAGACTATTGGTCAGTTATGTTGTCAATAGGATTACAGATCCAGAGATAGCCCATATAGACTATTGGTCAGTTATGTTGTCAATAGGATTACAGATCCAGAGATAGCCCATATAGACTATTGGTCAGTTATGTTGTCAATAGGATTACAGATCCAGAGATAGCCCATATAGACTATTGGTCAGTTATGTTGTCAATAGGATTACAGATCCAGAGATAGCCCATATAGACTATTGGTCAGTTATGTTGTCAATAGGATTACAGATCCAGAGATAGCCCATATAGACTATTGGTCAGTTATGTTGTCAATAGGATTACAGATCCAGAGATAGCCCATATAGACTATTGGTCAGTTATGTTGTCAATAGGATTACAGATCCAGAGATAGCCCATATAGACTATTGGTCAGTTATGTTGTCAATAGGATTACAGATCCAGAGATAGCCCATATAGACTATTGGTCAGTTATGTTGTCAATAGGATTACAGATCCAGAGATAGCCCATATAGACTATTGGTCAGTTATGTTGTCAATAGGATTACAGATCCAGAGATAGCCCATATAGACTATTGGTCAGTTATGTTGTCAATAGGATTACAGATCCAGAGCCTATGACTTTCATGTAGTCTTAGATATATTATGTAAAAATCCGGTGATATTTAAGAGTTGTTTTTTTTTTAACTAAGCGCTGATTGCTTACAAGAAGTTGGTTTTCTTTTTTCTTTTATAGGATAACATCAAGAAAGAGTCCTTGTCAATTCGTGGGATTCTGAGTACCCATCACAAGCTAATGTCAGAGATCAGAACCATACTCAAGTCTATGGCCAAGGTATGCTATGGAGTTCATTTGTGAATTTTATGGGAAACAATTATCCCACTCCTTACAGTGAAGTTTTGGAGGTATACTGGAATCAGGGTGTCCATCCATGCGTCTGTTTATCTGTAGATGCAAGCATGCACCATCTTCTCCTCCTAAACTACTGAGTTAATTATGTCCCCCAAACGAAGTGGGGTGACATATTGTGTTTGCTCCGTTTCTTATTATTATTATTTATATTATTCTTATTTCTTCCACTTTCTTCTGCCGGCGAGATTTCCGACGCGTTTCTCGAAAACTATTGCATGGAATTAAAAATACTTTACACACATATTCATACATCCGAGGCGGAGTGCAGGCCACTTGAATTTTTCCAATCGGTCATCTGAGCGGTCAGCTGTGGTCAAAATTTGGCCAAATTTTAGATATTGTCCGATTTTTGTGAAAATTGGTATATATGTATTAGGTTGCAATTGGAGCAAAAAGGCATAGTCCATTTTTCATTTGGCCATCGATCGGTCATCTGAGCAGTCAGCTGTGGTCAAAATTTGGCCAAATTTTAGATATTGTCTGATTTTCGTGAAAATTGGTATATATGTATAAGGTTGCAATTGGAGCAAAAAGGCATAGTCCATTTTTCATTTGGCCATCGATCGGTCATCTGAGCAGTCAGCTGTGGTCTAAATTTGGCCAAATTTTAGATATTGTCCAATTTTCGTGAAAATTAGTATATATATATATTAGGTGGCAATCGGAGCAAAAAGGCATAGTCCATTTTTCATTCGGCCATCGATCGGTCATCTGAGCCGTCAGCTGTGGTCAAAATTTGGCCAAATTTTAGATATTGTCCGATTTTCGTGTTGGCCAAATTTTAGATATTGCCTGTGACGTTTTAAAAATTTACGTCTGATTATTATGATCATTTACTGCTGAAGGGGTCATTTGGGAGACATTGGTAATGGTCCCCATTACAATTAGTACTTGTTTCAACTATGCCTATATTCTTATACATTGTAGATGTGTGTAATATATATCAGATGGAGTTACTTCCCCTTTTCGAAAAGTTATACACATATGGGTATATTTGTAATAAATTGTTGGCAGTAGTATGATTGAGTATTATTTGTGATAAATTGTTGGCAGTAGTATGATTGAGTATTATTTGTGATAAATTGTTGGCAGTAGTAAGGTTGAGTATTGCAGTGAGAGACAAGCTTTATTGTTCTCACTTCGGCTGTGTTCTTAAAATGGACTGATTTCTCTGAATTTCAGCTTTTGTTTTTTACATGCCTTAAATTTTAAAAATCACAGTTATGATGAAAAAGAACTTATTATTGTTAATGAATGGAAGTGGCAAGTGAAATTAAGGAGAATTGTGACATCTATTCTGTAGAGTTCATGCCTTATCAATGTTGCTCAGGGTTTTATTTCACATTACAGCAGGAAGAACAGGACATGGGAGACATATCAGTAGCGGGTAGTGTACGAGAGTACTTGTCCATTTACAAGAACTTCTCCGAAAACTTCACCACTGCTCTCAAGATTGTCATCACGGAGGATGTTCTCAAGGAAGGAATGGCTGAGGCAGACTCAATTATAGATTCACTTATTAGTCAGGTGTCACAGTAAGTGGGTTCATCTGGTCAAGACATGTGATTTCAGATCATACCCAAATTAAGACCTATATCACTTTACATATAAGAATACTTTGTTTACTGTGAAATATTTCTTTTGGAATTTGGAGATTTGTAAGGTTTTCTTTACAATTTTTTACAATTTATTATATATAACATATATATGTTACACAATATATCCAAGGGGTCATTATATTACTTTCTGATTCAAAATGAAGGGATGATGTTAGTACCGTACAGATTTATAGCTAAATTAAATCTCACAAATATTACCAACTATAAAGTATTTTTATGATTTACGAAATTGATTCCGTAATGCATTTATTGATGAAGGGTATTAAAAAATGTACACCTGATAATGACTGATGTTTATATATATGTTGTTCATGTTACTTCAGGATTTATGACGACCTTGTCAACCTGGCTCCACCTTTGCTTTCTCTCGAGGATAACCAACAGTCTGCAGACTACAATTTTGTTCCAGGTAAATATACAAAATTGTGGTTGATACCATCAAACCTGTCAACTATTTAGATTTTAGAAGAGGGGAATTGTGTTTTGTGATAATTAAGGTGTCTACAAAGCCTGTATTTATAAATAATTTTAACTTTTTTAGCTTTGAAGAAGGCAGAAATCAGAGACATGCCAAGTCCATCAAGGAAAGGGACACAGGCACAGCGAGATACTAGTAACACCCCTCCCTACAGCTCACAAGCTGGTGCCCTCGCAAAGATCACAGGTATGAGCAATTTTGTGTGGCATGACAGGCTTTATCTTCAGGCATGGGCCCCACATAAATTTTCGTGACTCAACAGTCTGCAGTACAGTGAACCATATTTTCTGGGTTATAAGCAGCACCATTATATAACTGCAAGGCCAGTTTTTAGAGATTTCATCCATTTGATCTACATATAAGAAATATAAGCCACACCCTTTCTAAAGATATGGTGACCTCTATTGAAGATGTTTGATATACTGGTAACAGGTAACAGAAAGTAGTTTAACAAGATCATCAGGGTAACAAAGTTTACTGATGATTTTTGCACAAATGATCCTTTATTTTGTTTTTAAACTATGCTACTCATTTAAAATAAATAAAATATTGAACTTGTTTGGGGCCTTCAGTGATTGCCAATGCACAGATAGGGCCTGACATTAGGTTCAGTATTACGATCGCTCCATCGGTGTCTATACTGTCAACTGTGCATTTTTCTCGCGTGTCCCACTAAATACTCATTCTTACTATACCAAAGGTGTTGAAAAGGTCACAAGTACCTCTCTGGCAGAAAATAGGTCCTATATACAGCATTTCTATGACTCATAGTCAGGCAAACATACATCACATCATTTATACAGCGCCTACACTGAAGTCAAATTTGTTCCCTTGTGTTTCAGTTTGTGGGTTTCATTACAAGCAAAATGAACTCTTTCCAAGTAAGATTTGTTCTGATTTTGAAAAGGTCAATATAATATTAACGATTTATGTTTAAGGGCCAGTTAGTGTGAAGAAAGCTGAGAAGTTGTCAAGAGATCCTAGGACTGGTAAAGCCATCCAAGAGAGGAATTCATATGCAGTCAGTGTGTGGAGAAGGGTCAAAATGAAACTGGATGGACGAGACCCTGATATAAACAAGAGGTTGTCTGTGGCAGAACAGGTCAGTTGTGAATGACAATAAAACTAGAAAATGAAATACTACAAAACGAGACTTGTTATAGTTTGGTTGAATAGCCTTTTTATCAGATATCTATCCGTTCATTATCGTATAGGTATAGCTAAGTAGATAAGTAAGTAGTAAGTAGGGAAAAAGTCAGCATCATATTGCCTTTCAATATCTCAATCAGCATTGTTGTTTATATATTGAATACCAGGATATTTTTGCCCTCGTACCATTACACAAGAATTAGTCTGATGTACATGTTGCCTTCTTGGGATTATATAAAAAAAATTTCATCCTCCATGTTTATAGAAAAGAGTGAAAATTATTCAGTTGATGTATCACCATCTTTTTTCCCCCCGTAATATCTATAATAAATAGTTGTACTGAATGCTGCCAAGGGTTTATTATAGATATTTTAAATGTACCGATGTTTGACAGGTGGACTATGTTATCAAGGAAGCCACCAACATGGACAACCTGTCGGTGTTGTACGAGGGATGGACACCCTGGGTGTGAATGACCAATGGAAGTATATTCCAGGCCAAAGTCAAAGTCGCTACAGGCAACTAATCCTCGCAGACCATTGGTCCAATCTCTACAAGCCGTGCAGTCGCTGACTTGCGGTTTAAAATGAGTGGAGAGGATGTCTGAAGACCAGCTGTACATCCAAGCGGATTGTCAAGCGTGACCATCACATAGAAAGCTCAACAGATATATGCTCTCGGGCCCTGCCGGAGGGCCCAGTAAACGAGAGCGAGTTTTGCTTTTCCTGTGGAGATAGCTCTGATAATATATAAAATTAAACAGTACAGCTAACAGCACTAAAATGATCTGTCGCACAAGAAGGAAGCCATCGGTTATTAGTATAGACGTAACGTTGTAAAAGAAGTTAAAAGGAAAGAAGAAAAAGAAATGACACTCTGGTGACTCGTTTTGCAGTAAGATAGCAAGATGATTTACCAGGAATTCTTAGTGGAGACTTAGGGTAGATTACAGATGAAGTGGTGTGAGCAGACGTCAGACACAAGTTTATTGAGAGCAGATGTCAACACCAAACTTTTTTTTCCCAAGAAAAAAGTTTTGCTGCATAAAGAAGAAGAAAGAGACCTTAGAATTTCCATATGTAATTCCAGAAGATGGTTTTACTGTGTGGGATGGCAGATGTAGTTCTGAAATCTGCTGGCAAGAGGGAAAATCTGACACTTGATTTGGAAGTGCAAAAATAGAGAAAAAAAAAAGGACTGATGTTGTAAATATAGACAAGAAATTGTCAACCTTGTACCTATGTATGAGACATGGAGCACAGACTCTGACAAGCCATATAGTATAAAAGCTTGCCTAACAGAAGCAAATCTGGTGGTTTGGGTGTCGTGAGTACAGCGTTAGATACTTTATGGTTTGTAAGGAGCTTGTCTACTTATGTAATTGTATTGTCTGATGTAAAAAATAAATTATGGTTTTGTGTTTTCAACATTGTTAATATGTTAAGATTTTTTCATATTTATTTTCCTTCTTCATCATAAATGTGGTAGGTTTATAGGACAAATATCCGTGTAAACATTCATCTGCTGCAAATGATAACCAATACGAAATATAACTTTCATATAAAATTGATATTCATGCTAAATACCTGAGTGTAAAATGATATATTAGTCAAATGAAAGTGAGATAGTTAAAAATTTCAGTGTTCTTTAAAATATAATGCAATATTTATGTTATATGTTACACCAAGCAGAATCCCAACCTGTGTATTATGTTGAAAACTATTTAAGAATGTATAACTTCAGTTGATGCTATATTCATGATAAAACAGCAGTGATATAATTATTATGCTTTAATGCCAATTCATCCTTTGATTAATTTATTTCACATGGTTTTTGACAATCACTTGTTAAATATGGATGCATTTTATGAAACAAAACATACAATGTTGTTGCATTTGCAGAGGTTAGAACACCTTCACAGGGCATTTAAAGAATAGTTTATCACCCGTGTCTTATAAAAGATTGTTTTATTTCAAACAACTCTTCCTCTAATTTTTGTTTATCTTGGATTGTTTTTTTTTGCAAGAATTTAAAATTGTCAAAGGAATAGATGCTACTCATGATTTTGAAACTGTTGAAAAAGTATTGTGAATTTCTGTAGAAATCTTGCCAACAGTGTTCCAATTAGTCTTCCATTAAGAGCATTGGAAGAAAAAGTACTAAAAGGAAACTTGTTTCATACTAAAAACAATTAACATTTTTTAACATATGCTGATTGACTGTATATACATGCCAGCAAAATTCTCACAAGTCTTCATAGCTAACAATTATGTCGTCTTAAATAGGACATTTTAGATAAAGCTTAAAGGTGAAGATAGGCAATACTTAACTGTTGAAGCATTGATATAAATATTTGTTAGCCTGGTGTTAAATTGTGTTACTCTGTAAACACGAGCTATAAAAAAGTACATACGATTTACCAGAACTGTGAAGTTTAGCTGCAATACTGAAAGAGATACAGTTTATTGATGCACTGAAGTATGCCCATGTTAGAAGTGTGGAAATGTTCAATTACAGATAGCTCCATGAAGCTCTGAAAAATGGCAAAAGTCAGTTGCAGACTGCTTATACAAGTCCTGAAATACGGCAATGCTCAAATGCAGGCCACCTATGGCAGTGTTCAAGTGCAGACTGCTGATTAGTGCTACGGCTGAGCTCTAAGATCTTCAGTATGTCAGAGCTAAAATGCAGATCGGTGTTGAAGCTCTGTTTAATACAGATTGGTCATTAAAGCTTTGAAATAAGGATCAGCTACTGATCATTTTGTGAGGGTGCTGGCATGCCATACATAACAATCAGAGCAAATATTGTTATGCTCGAGTGCAGAATTTTGTATCAATATGTTGATATGTTAAGTAACATCCATCACAAGATATTTCTGATACTATGTACTTGTTCATTAAAGCATTATGATGGCATTATTTGTATTTTACATAACATCATACCTTTTACAAAACTTAGATTGTTAATTTTTTTTAGTTATAAAAACTGAGTTTAAATTAAAATTGTATTCTGATGATTTAATTTTTAAGTTGATTTAATCAACTGAAAGCCACATAACATTGCTGCCTTTGAATACAGTAATGTCTACTTTGATGTAACACACGTTTGATATCATGACTAGTGCAATCCTGAAGTGGTTTAGCAAATACCAACTGTCTGCCTCCAGTCTTTCTTTACCATGTGTTTGATTGCAGTTATGTGTTGTTTTAACATTTGCAATGGATCCTTTCAGAGAAAAATTGTGTCTTTTAACATCTGTGCATTTTGTGCCCCAAACATTTGGGGGGTGGGATGGGCATATAGTGTTAGCTGTGTTTTTTCCTTTCAATCCGTTACGAATCAACAACATATCTTTAGAGCCTTGCAACAGACTTTGATTCATATTTTACCCCTTATCTCAGTAAAATCATCAAGGTCTAAGGTCACCTAAGGTCACATTTGAAAGCTTCTGCAAAATTCATTTATCAGTGCTGATCATGTCTTATGGATATTTCCTAAAAAAAAAAATTTTTTTTTTGTAATTCATTAATATTTTTCAATATTTTTCAATATTTTTGGAATTTTATTGTATAACTCATTATAACTTCCACATTATATTGTATTTTAATTTTGTATCCTTAATAATTCATTGAAAAATTTTGTTACAATACACTGGAATAGTAGATGTAGCATTTGTTTGGTTTCGGACTATTTTGAATTCACTTACTTTCTCTCATCATCTCCTTTAAAAGCACCAATATCCAAATCATTCACCACTTCTATCAGAAATCTATGTGCAATTGAACATGAAATTTAGTCTTAGTGAAGAAGTACAAGAACATCAGGTCATGAAATTAAGTGTTAGCAAAAAAAAATTGAAGTGAAACGAATTTCTAGACTTAAGTTAACATTAAAGTATGTGGAAGTTTTCCCAGTTTTAATTTTGTCTTTTTTGCCTCCAGATCGGACATGATTATCAAGTCTTTAATATTGTGTCAAAGTATTGCTCATTATCTATTATATTCTAATTTGAGAAGCAAGACTAATCATAATCATTTGTTTTAGCAACTATTGATAGACACTTTCATTGAAATCCTAATCCTAATTAATAATTAAAACAAAAAAATTCTCTTTTTTCCTAATATCTTTGAATTAATTGGTAATTAAGACATACTTGCTATTGTAATGATGTTTCACAAAGTCTAACAGATTGGGTTTAGTCAAAGTGAAATATCTTTATTTTACGAAGTCAAAATTATTAATCAGAAAAATGACTTGTTAGAACTCAAATTTATGTTGTATTATGGTATTTCTGAATATTTTTGCATTGAATATGTCGAAATAATATTCTCATGATGTAAACTTAATATGAAAGCACGCTGAAGATGTATCCCATTCGAAGTGAAAGAATTCTTTGCCTAACTGGAAACCTCGATGTGTAGATACATTATATATCTAGATATTTTGGAATGCATTTTAGGCATGTTTGTCTGTATAAGCCTTAATGACCATGTGTTTTCACTTTTGGCTTGTATGGATGGCAATGCAAAATTGGAAGGCAATGTTTGTTAGAGGCTGAAGAAACATAAAGAAAATATGATTCAATATGTTTGGAAGTTTCAGAGAGGGAAAAAATTATTGACAACACATGAAGTGACATTCTTATTGTTTTGAAGACAACAGCAGTTTAAAAAGAGAAGGGAAACCACTAGCCATGCAAGTGTGTGTGACTCCAGAAAGCTACAAATTGAAATGGCTGACAACATGTTAGCGAGATAATAAACACATGGCAGGGAGATGCCTACTCTGACCAAGGATTTGACATGTCAGAGGACATGGAAGGGAGATAACTGTGGAGGACTCATACCATAACATTGCTTGCCTTACATATATCTGATTTATCTGTAACAATGCAGTCTGAAGGTATAGAATTGGTCTGCATCATTAGTCATGCTTCATATGTAGGAATTGCTGCATGTTAATGTAAATAGCTTTGAAGTGTTTTTTTTTCTCTCTCTCTTCGATTTATTGGTGTTTGTTTGTAATAAGAATAAAGGAAATCTATTTTCCATAATTTTGTTTATTCTTTGTGTACATGATATTGACCATTTCATCAGTTTACCATTTCTACTGTCTAGTGAATCAGGAGAACCGATATGTTCAATGTATGGAAACTTTTTAGAAATGGGAACATATGTAATTAACTGCATTTAATCAAATAAAAAATATTTCCTACAGATCAAACACATTAAAAATGAGGAAAGGAAAACACTGGACAACTTCCATGTAGGGCAGTTTTGATCATTGACCATTTAGTATGATTAAACTGAGGTGTAGTTGATCTGTTTGGACCCAAAGGATTTAGCTGGTTGAAATATATAGTTGTTCAGATTTGTGCATAATCAAACATGCATTGTTAACTTAAAGCATTCATGTCCACAGAAGTGAGAAACTATAAAGTATAAGTTAAGACAGCTATAAATATCTCAACCAGCTGTATCCTTTTGTCCAAACCAATTACAATCAAGACAGCTATAAATATCTCAACCAGCTGTATCCTTTTGTCCAAACCAATCAAAAGGATAATCAGTTACACTTATGTCTTTTATTAAAGTCACATGAGACAAAGTCACCTGTCACCTGAGACAAAGTCACCTGTCACCTGAGACAAAGTCACCTGTCACCTGAGACAAAGTCACATAAAACAAATGCAAAGTTATATTGAGAGTGGTGATGTAAATTTAGGTGTCTCGATAATCCCTTCGGCCAATGGACGCAGAAGGCCCTTTATAACGGACAAAAAAACATCCAAAGCTGTTGAATGGAAAATGGGGATTAAATTATCAAAAATATTTTATCTCAATTTCAGAATGTTTTGCACTGTAGACACTGAGTGTATATGTGATCGCAATGGAGACAATTGCATGTCATACTGCGAGGAATGTTGTCTACCGGTACAAATCTAAATCAGGAATTGTTGGATTAAAAGTAAGAAATTTTTTGTAAAAAAATGATAAATGTATGTGTAGTTACAATAAAAACTATTTTGATAAAACTCACCAGTTAAATGCACAAAAATGATAAATAAAAAACATAGTTTTGAATATGGTGAACTAGGCCCCATATAAATTTGTATATATATATCTTATCTATCAACCTTTAGTTAGAGTTTATATCTTGATGTAGATTCTGTGTGTTTGAATAGAGCTTGGAAATGTCCATGAACACATTTATAAAATGTCCTCAGTAAGAAAAGCCACAACTAGGGCACTAACTTTATATCTACAGAAAGTTTCGTGGAGTTGAGAAGAACAGTTTTGAAGCTGTAGCCTGGAAAGGAAAGTAAACACTAATTTTGTGTTGTTTGGCTATGTTTCCATGGTAACACAAAAACTATGAAAATTGAAATGTTGTCAGTTGCAAAAGCCATAACTAGGGCACTAACTTAATATATACTGAAACGAAAAAAAAAATGCAACTTGGAAAATTGTTATTAATTTTGTATTAAATATACATAGCTGTATAAAAATCGCGGAAATAAAAGTGCACCCTGCCTATCACCCTAACCAATGTTCAAAATCAACCAGGTGTGACGAGAAACCTATGCACATCCGGCACGGTAAAAACATCAAAAACCGTACCTGTACAAACATATGCGTTCTTTTTCATTCAAACCAGTATCAATTTATCACTAACATCGAGACACATCATCGCCAATACTTTTGCAAACAATAATTCCTTTTACAATTATGCCACGGTTATCACAGGTTGATAGAGGACGTGCTATCGCGATGCTTATGGCAGGGAGCACGCAACGTCACGTCGCTCGGCACTTCAGAGTTCACAAATCGACTATTAGTCGATTAGTTTCACGTCTTAACGCCACAGGAAGAGTCGATGACCGGCCGAGATCAAGAAGTCCACGCGTAATGTCACGACATCAAGACCGGGTTGTTAGGCTGGCACACTTGCGTAACAGGAGGTTAACGGCTGCTGAAACGGCAAGGAATACGATTGGTAATCATAACCATCGGATTCATCCCCAAACAGTGATCAACAGACTGCGTGAGGCTAATTTGCTTGCAAGGCGACAGTACGTTAGTTTACCACTAACACCGCAATGTCGAGCACGTCTTATGCAATGGTTGACGGCACATATGCCCAGACGTTTTCCTATGAGACGTTGGAGGTCCATGCTCTTCACCGATGAATCTCGATTCACGTTATTTCAAGCAGATGGCTGTTAACGTGTGTACTGGCGTCGAGGCGAGGGTTTTGCTGACGCCTCTGTTTTGGAGCATGACCGATTTGGGGGTGGATCAGTTATGGTTTGGGCGGGAATCTCCCATGGTTTGAAGACACCTTTGGTGATAGTCAGTGGGAATTTAACGGCCGTACGCTATCGGAATGAGATCCTTAGGCCCCATGTTGTGCCATTTGTTAGGCAGCATAATCTAACCTTGCAGCAAGATAATGCGAGACCACACGTTGCAAGAGTCTGTAGAGACTTTCTTGTGACACAGAACATTGTTCCTATAGATTGGCCTCCATATAGCCCCGATTTGTCCCCAATCGAGCATTTGTGGGATGAACTAGACAGAAGAATTCGCAATCGCCGTAACCCCCCTAATACCCTCCCCCAGTTAGCAAATGCACTCGTCCAAGAATGGAATAACATTCCAATACGGACAGTCAATGCCCTGATAAACTCAATGCAACGAAGAATTAGAGATGCTATAGCTGTTCGAGGAGGACACACACGATATTAGGGCACGGTTTCAAAACTGCTGCCATTTCAACTTGGATTCACGTAGGGTACTACCAATCATGACCTTCTAGCGAAGTGACCTTTTCTTAAAAATCTCCAAACATTTAGAGGATGTTACATCAATATTCAATATTAACTATTACATATGAAATTTAGACATAATGCTCACAAGTATTATCTTATTAAACCTACAATTTGAAGTTGCGTTTCTTATTCGTTTAAGTATATATAGAGAGTTTTGTGAAGTTGAGTGGAATGGAAGTTACAGCCAGTAAAGCCCTCAGACAGATGCACAGATAGAACCTAAATATCCCCTTCAAAGGCATTTTGTGGGGGATAAATATAAAACATGTGTGGTTTTCTGTAATTAGTGTCTTATAGTACAGTAAAAATAACAAAGTTTTACTGCTTTATTATGTCTTTTTTTATTGACAGTTTAACAGGTCTGACTGTCGGACAATTATTTTGTCCACGATATTAAGCAGTCTTGTTTGAAAAACCAACTTCAGCACTTGACTAGATACAACAATATTCCAAATTGATTTATTCTTTAAAATTCTGTTTTAAGATTTCATTTGATTTCTAAATGATGGCATATAATTTATTTGTAAACAGTGCTAACAGTGTAAACAGGGGGGGGGGGGGGGGGGGGGGGTTAAATTCAGTGGGAGAGTGTATGTTTTAACTAAAACCCTTGTAAACTTTCCAATCCTAGAGATGCATTTTAATACTGCCCTACTGACATTATCATTCAAATGTAAAAATATAACACAGGGAACAATAACCTTCACACAAAAGAAAAATATTACTATATACCAGGACATTTTTACCTCCATGAACAGGGAGAGCAAATTAAACACACGTCGAAAATATGTCACACTTACTTACCCCATTAATATTACCTGTAGGTTTCCTCACACAGCGAAATGAACTTGAGGTGAATTCATGCATAATGGTCCAAAGGAAAAATTAAGCAAGGGGGAAAACATCCTGGTTTACAGTGACTTTAGGCTTGACACAATGTGATGAAAAAAAAATGAAATTTAGTATTATCCTGTTGTAAGCCTGAGGATGGAAACCTAATCTCAGACTGAAAAGTGGGGGATAGATCAGGACACTGAAATAACATTTCTAATATCAATAAATGTGGGAGAGCTTAATGCTGTGTAAACATAATCATACAGTCATAATAAATATACGATAGTGATGTTTAACACATTAAAGCCAATTACAAACTCCAATGCAAAAAAAATTACACCTTAAGAGATATATTAATCAGATGTACTGGTAGATAGGGGTATATAAAAACACAAACACAGGTTTGGGCCAAAAGTAACCAATATTTTATTATTATGTAATATTATGTAACATTACAAAATTATATATCTGTGGACAACACAGTCCACAAATAATGAAATACTGGTCTTCCAAACTAATAGACCAAACCTGTTACAGACTAATAAAATTAAACATAAAAGAAAAAAAAAGGGTATGTCCATGGTGTGGTGGGTATTAAAGCCCTGTCAGTGCTGGAGGTGGGAACTGGTCACTACAGTGCTCTGGAGACTGTGGCTGGGCATATGCAGCAGATCACAACAACACACAAATGGTTGTCATTGGATAAGATTTCAATGTCCAGCTGAAGGTAACCACACATTCATAAAAAAAAAAAAAAATTGAGTCAAGGCAGGCAGTCCAAAACACTAATGTCCAGGTCCTGAAAGTTATGACTGAGAAACTTAACACAAATACAATATTCCACTGATAGCTACTGTAATCACAAACAAGGATGCAGCCTATCTCTCTCCAATACCATTGTAGTGTGAACTGCCACACACAGATCCTAAAGTATAGGCAACTTTGAGACGTAGCGACAAGGATGGGTCCAAGTAGCGTTTATAGGCGTCACTACGCCAATCTCCCTGAGTTTGGATGAGGTCAGCAGGTAAGCCACATTCTAAAGCAAAAGATGCCCCACCCCTGCGAAAGCTATGGCCTGAGTATCTAGCTGGGTCAAGGCCACATTCCTGGAGGATAATATGAAGCTGTGAGAGGAAAGATTCGTATGTAAGGGGGATGATTGTACCCCTTGACTGGTAAACAAAGGCTGGGCCCTGTGGGTCAGCCTGCCGTGTCAAGGCAAAGGCCAAGGTCAAAGCCTGTGTAGGGCAGAAGGGTGACCCTGGTATGCATGGGAGGGGGATAAGAAGGCATCTCTCCTTAAACTGAATGGTTTTTGACCAGGTAATAGACAGAATTGTACCCTGGTTGGAGAGATGGATATCATGTCTACTTAGGTGTTTCCCAGATTCAAACTTGTCTTTATCTGAGATAAACAAATTGGACTTACGAAAAAAAGAGAAAAAGGCTACTAGGCATGCTGCCCAAAAAGTGATATGTTTGGAGGAGGTTAGACAAATTCTGGAGAAAATTTTTTCCAAGATGCTAAGGTTGATTGGGAGTTTAGGATTGCAACCATCACCCATTGTTCTACGTGCTCCTTTCAATATAGTACTGACATAAAAGGAGTCAAGAGGGCTGGGGTAATCCCATTCCTGGTGTAAAAGCTTGATGACTGACAGATACTGCCTTATTGATGAAAAGGTAAGTCGATCAGACAAATAAGCAATATAGCGTCCCAAATTAACTGGTGATAAAGGGACTAATGGTATCTCTACAAGCATGCAAAACCTTCTGTATGAAGACAGGTATGTACTGTAGGTCTTCTGAGTAGACTTAGCAAAATGGTTTGCCCGTAATACGTCTACAGTCGTATCAAGATTCTTGATTATGGTGGATTTCGGTGAAGGACCTTGGCCACCTGTTCAGAAACATAGAAAAAGGAAGGTGCTGACATGTGATCCAAAAAGTAAAGAGTTGGTACTGGTCTACCAAATCTACTGCAAAACTGTTGCAAATGGACAGACTCGTGAAGCCGAGACACAGTGTCTGCCATGCCATTGTTAACACCTTTAATGTGTCTAGCAACTATGTGAAAGTTGAACAAAACAGACAACCAGAACATATTACGTAATAACCCCATAAGTATTGGGTTTTTGGACGTGCCCTTATTTAAACAGGCTACTGTGGTTGCATTATCGCTAAAAACATATATTTTCATGTTGGTCCAACAAGAGGCCCAACGATACGATGCAACAACTACTGCAAGTAATTCCTTTTCATTAATATGCCAATGCATGGCCTGGGGGAAATCTTGAGACCAGGCTGTGTAGAACCAGTCCTCCCCCCAGTGTCCCCCACCCCCAATAGGACATGCATCTGTATACAGCGCAGTGAAGGGGATGTCATTGAGTAACAATGACTTGCCATTGAAAAGTGATAGGCCTGTAACCCACCATTCAATGTCTTGTAACATTGGGCCAACTAACTTGACTTTGTGACCTGGCTTTTTAAGGGCTGCCATAGAGTTAATCAACCGACGGAGAAAAACTCGCCCGCCTCGGATAACTGTAGCGGCCCATGACAGTTGTCCCACAATGGATTGTAACTGTCGTTTAGTAGCACGTTTGCGATTACGGAAATCGCAAATATCAGATCTAAGAGCTTCCAGCTTCTTCAAAGGTAATTGTAACATCATACTGACCGAGTCAATCTCAACGCCAAGAAATGTCATAACCTGAGCTGGGCCATGTACCTTAGACCAGTTAATGAGAAATCCCAACTTTCTCAACAGGCCTATAAGATATGCTAACATAGAGGAACATTCCTCCTGAGAATCTGCACAGATGAAGAAGTCATCCAAATACACCACCAGATTGTGGTGTCCAGCACAGGACATAATCCTGCGGACTGCTTGTGTAAGTCTATGAAAAATTCCAGGACTTGCCTTTGCTCCAAAAGGCAGCTTAGAATCATAGAAATAGTGGGGTTCACCATTTAAAGTCCATTGGAGTCCTGTTACCATTCGACTATGTTTACTTATAGCTACAGATCTATAGGCTGACTTAAGGTCAACCTTGGCCATAAAACAACCTGGGGTAAGTAGCCCAACCGCATTATCTATAGACTGGAATTTTTGTTTATCCATTGTTGTGCAGTAGTCATTAACTGCCTGTCCTGATGGCCGGCTACAGTCATGAATGAGTCTGACCCCACCAGATGTTTTAGGGATAACCCCTATCGGACTAATGATAAGGGGTTTAGTGGCAATAGGGATGTAATTGCCATTAGCTATTTCCGTATGGACTTGCTGTGAGGCAAGTTTGTAAAAGGGGCTGTGAATAGATGCAGAGGGATGATTGGGAGCTTCAAATGAAGGGGAGTGGAATTTGGGTCAATAATATCAAATCCATTGGTGATACCATTAAGAATAAAAGATCTATCAAAATCATTAGGGGGAAGAAGCTTGTCCCAGGCTTGATAGGACAGGCCATGGGTGGGACTGTTTGATTGCTATGCATCAGATTTATGGGAATGAGCAGGGTGATTTTGTGTACACCCAGAGACTAAACAAATGTGGGCATACTTACAGTTTGTCCTGTCACACCCAGGAACAGTATTGTAGTTTCTACAAATTCCCTTTTTTTCCGATGTTTTCCCCTTTCTCTTACCAAATGAAGTTTGGGGAAATGATCGAGGTTGTTTAGGCCTTAGATAAACTGTTTGGAGGTGAGGTATGTCAGTACCCCACCGAAACTGGTCTTCAGCCTGCAGCCTGCGGTATTCCCTATCAAAAAACCAGACTGATGACTGCTCATAACAGTTCAACAGCTGATAAATGCGGGTGGTGTATGACAGGTAATCAAACATCCTTTCCCTAGGAAGTGCCTGATCCTGAATTAGCTTATATAAGATGGCCAAGTTTGCAACTGACCACTGAGGAACCGTGACAGATTCTAATTTAGGCTTTGATGGACCTGCTTTATAAACTAATTGCCCCCCCCCCCCTCAACGCCCTCTGCTGACCCCAGAACTTCCTCAGATATTTGGCCACCCCGTACATTGACAAAATCAACAATATCCAGATAGGCTGCACCCTTACCTGTAGTAGCTGCTGCCCGGAGATACACTTGTGGGTCCCTCCATGATGCCGATTCACATACAGGACGAGTATTTGTGGCTTCCTGCACTTTTGCCTGCTGATTGTTCATTTGGCCCAGCAGATTGGCCACACTGTCCATGTAGTCCTCTGTTGGCCCACGAACTGTTGATGGTGTGCTTGAATGCCTTATCCCTTCTGATGACTGCTGATGTTTTGTGGAATCTGTGCATTCAATTCCTGATGGTGGCTTGTTATGGGTAAGGGGACCCATATGTCCCTCTTCTGATTTTTGATTGGCCCCCACTGAAGCCTGGCAAGGGGTTTCTTTGTGTTTAGGTCCATTATGCTGTGCATATGAACCATTCGGAAATGTCTGAGCCAATGCTTTCAGCAGAAGCTTTTGCTGACCAACCGGTATATTTGAATTAACCAGGTCTTTTGGCTCCAACAATGCCAAAGCTTCCATACACTGGAAACCAAGCTTCAGTAATATTTCTGATGTTCTGGCAGACAGGCGTTTAAATGCTGCCCATTTTTTTACTTTGCCTTCTTCCAGGTCTTCTTGGCTGACAGCTTCCTCAATGATTTCATCATCCGAATCTAAATCCGACATAGTGAGTGGATTTCTTTTTCTGGTGTTTATCATTCAGGGTTCTAAAGCCCTGTCAGTGCTGGAGGTGGGACCTGGTCACTCCACAGTGCTCTGGAGACTGTGGCTGGGCAGGTCAGTGCAGCAGTGTAACCTACAAACCTCCTTGGTTGTCATTGGCTAAACCTGTCAAGGTGAGGAGGTTAATGGCTGACCATACAAATCCCCCTTATAGGCACAATGTTTCTCAATGGTCCCATTGCCCCAAACTTGACATGCCAAATGTTAGCCCTGACCCCTGGATAACCGACTTGATAAAAGTTGGGGCCATCTGACAAGAATGACACTCCATCCCACCTCATTAATATTGTATTAATTACTTAATACCTACTTTCACTTTAAAACTCCCAAAAAACACAGCACAACTCATAGGCTCATACAATACACACACACAGATCCTGTACTTGTGACAGAATTACTTAAACAGCTATTATTTATCTCTGGGCCAGGGTTGATATATAGTAAAAATGGATATGCTGTAAAATAATGTATATTATGGTGGGGCTTAACATTTTTTTCCCATGAAATTACATTTTCATTAATACTTGATTATGTAAATAAACAAGCAAATTCATGGAATTTATATCCCCCACTTTCCAAACAACTTTTAAAATAATTTGGAAAGAAAATTACCAGTAAAAATATTGTTTTTCTTTACAAATATATGGATTATAACTCTGGTGCTAAGCTTAATGATAAACTGATAATATTTGTGGGACTTCAAGTTAAATCTAAATCAGATTATATTTAGGAAAGTTAAAGCACAAAAACTGACCGACGAAAGAAAGGAAAGGATACCTAATTAGTATGCATAGATATTAACAGATGATGCTGATTGCTGAACTCAGTCTTATGTGTCCTAATATGCATCTGCTGACCAAGTTTCATCTAAATCAGATTATATTTAGGGAAGTGAGAGCACGGAAATGAACCAACCAATGGAATCAAAGGACACCTCATTAGTATGCATAATTATTAACAGATAACACTGATAGTCAAAGTCAGTCTTAATGACCCCAAGATGCATCTGCTGACCAAGTTTCACTCAAATTGGATGATATTTGGGGAAGTTAGAACATGGAAACGAAAGTGTGACAGACAGGTGGATGGACGGACAAACCCAAATTAATATCCCCCGTTTCGGTGAAAGCGGGGGATAATAATACAAAATCCACCAGTGCACCGATATGATTTATACAAAATCTGCCAGTGCACCGATACAATTTATTTGTAACTGTTTATCGTTTTGTGGACATATGAATTCATGGGTTAACAAAACCTACAAATTCAACAAAAAATTAATAAATTTACAATATATGATTTCTAAGTCTTAGCGTAACCTTCAGAATTCATAAATGACATATCATTAAAAAAAAGAAATTAGTCGATAGTAATATTTTGTGTATAAATTTATGTCAAGGTGATGTTTTACAGTTTAACAGTGGGAGGATGAGAACAAAAAACCCAAGTATTTAACTATGAAACTTAACATTATTGAATCCTGTTTAATTTGACACATGTGCATTCTGACACCCTGTCTAAACAGACGTGTTCCCCCCCCCCCAACAAGGTGACAGACAGGATTCTGACACCCTGTCTAAACAGACGTGTTCCCCCCCACAAGGTAACAGAGAGGATTCTGACACCCTGTCTAAACAGACGTGTCCCCCCCCACAAGGTGACAGACAGGATTCTGACACCCTGTCTAAACAGACGTGTTCCCCCCCACAAGGTAACAGAGAGGATCCTGACACCCTATCTAAACAGACGTGTTCCCCCCCACAAGGTGACAGACAGGATCCTGACACCCTGTCTAAACAGACGTGTTCCCCCCCACAAGGTGACAGACAGGATTCTGACACCTTGTCTAAACAGACGTGTTCCCCACAAGGTGACAGACAGGATTCTGACACCCTGTCTAAACAGATGTGTTCCCCACAAGGTGACAGACAGGATTCTGATACTCTGTCTAAACAGAGGTGTTCCCCCCCACAAGGTGACAGACAGGATTCTGACACCCTGTCTAAACAGATGTGTTCCCCACAAGGTGACAGACAGGATTCTGATACTCTGTCTAAACAGAGGTGTTTCCCCCCCCCCCCCCCCCCCACAAGGTGACAGACAGGATTCTGACACCCTGTCTAAACAGACATGTTCCCCACAAGTTGACAGACAGGATTCTAACACCCTGTCTAAACAGACGTGTTCCCCTCCACAAGGTGACAGACAGGATTCTGACACCCTGTCTAAACAGACGTGTTCCCCACAAGGTGACAGAATTCACTTTACCTTCTGATTGGTGCTCCGGTTTTATCATCATTTGTACAGGCTTGTCTACCTACTTCCGTAGTCATGTTGATATTTTCTCACGATTTTGTCATTTAACGAGAAACACTGATATTATTTTTCCTCACCCAAGAAAAAAAAAAGGCAATTCCAAGTTATCAAAAATACAGATTTTATACTTTTGATTTCCTTTCCTGTTCGATATTAAAAAGTACAAGCTCTATTTGGTACACAAAGAAATACCATCAATATTAAATACATTCATATACCATATATAATAAAACTAGCTCATTGCACAGGGTTACATGTGAAACCATGATTATGTAATGTAATACTAAAACGAAAATACAATGATATAAACAAAATGAATGGTGTGAAATGTAAATATTTGACACTTTTTACTTTTATCACAGACTACATATCACATCTACAAAATAGATCTTGTATGCTTTTGCAAATAATACTGGAATAATGTACATCCTTTGTTAATTGAAGTTTTTATCTGGCAATAAGTCCAGGGTGCTAACTCATGATTAGTAGTCATGTCAGTGTTAACTGTAGAATGTTGTAACATTTGTCAGTATATTTATTATTATCATTATTACATTCTTCATGCTCCATCAACACAGTAAAGGTCATTATGGTCATCAACCAGTGAACGGCACAGCGGTATTTGTCAGTAACTATCAATGGGCTTGTTGCTAGATACATATATGGTTCTCAGATTCACTGGAAGACTGTAAACTTACTGAGTATGACAAAGCTACAACAACATAAAACCATGTTGTGGTGCATATTTATTATTTGTATCATTTTTTAAAAGAGAAGTTTTTGGAAAAAAAGTATTTTTGCAGTTAAGAAAATTAACGATTTTGGAAAGGAAGAGAAGGCATGAGATACAGACTACGTAAGATTAAATATGATTACCACTTTCGTAACATTATGGGTTCAAAATGAAATAAAGATAAACAAAACCCTAAATATATATTATAATGTATACATTGATTTAATCCTGGCTGTTCTGACATTAATAATTCTAAAAGTGTTAAATAGCTAATCTCATGAAAGTTTCTTTAACAAAGACTAAGAGAAAACTATAAAATGAAGTTAACAAACAGTCCACAACTTTAATGCAATTTGTTGAAATCACCTCAGGCATTGTGATATTCATACAACATTTGAAAAATCAACAATTTACAAAAATATGAAAACAAAATAAATACACAAATTTAAAATACAATATTATAGAGGTACATTGATTTTATAGTATTTGGCATTTAAATGTTACAGGACAGGGAAATGAACTCCAACATATAACTTACAGCAAATTTTCGCACATTTATAATACAGCTGGTGTTATTGCTCATTGTTCCTGCTGAAGACTTGGTGACATTTAGCTTTCATCACAGATTTCAGTCCAATAGCAGACAATTAAATTCTCATAACAAGATATTATCTAATATTGTAGATCATCTTTGCACAGTTGAAGCTGCATAAAGTTGTAAAAGTTGTCTCCCCTTGGAAGGTCAGGCTGTATATAATACCTGGTGGGATAAACATGGCTGTTGATTTCAGTTCCAACACGCTCATTCCTTATCTCTTGTGAGTACTATACACAACAGCTGTAATAAGGTTCTGGTCCTTTCCTCTTCGTGGTAGGGTAATTCAATCGTAACAGAATGATACTTAAACAATAGGGTACATTGTGTTCCTGATTGAACCATTGCTTGACCTTGTGATACAAATGTGTTGTCCTTCCTGTGGGAGGCTTCCAGTTGTTATATAGTGACACTTAAAGAGCAGTGAACTCCAGAATTCATTTTACAATGTTCAGGTCAGAACCATTTCTTGATGAAGTGATATAATAATGCTGTCCTCCCCTTGGCAGGCCTCTGGTGTGTTATCCTAATAACATTGGTACTCGTTCACATCGGTTTGAATATAATACTCGATTACCAGATACTCGCCGATTCATATCATCCCAAGCAGGTCCAATCTCCTCACCTAAGAAAGAAAAGTAAAAATACCTGATAACAATTCCAAAAATACAACATGGTAGACTCTTAAAGTCATTTTATAAACATTGTCCTTGGTATTTATGTCGGAAATGTGTCAAAAATTGATCATTTCATTCAAAAATGCCCTTTGACATTTTGACATAATATCTTCACCAATGTATTTTGATGTCATGGTGTATTGTTAGTAATACACAATCTTAATTTGTATATTGTTGGTAAAACACAATCTCGTTTTGTGTACTGTAGGTAATACACAATCTCGTTTTGTGTACTGTAGGTAATACACAATCGTGTTTTGTATACTGTAGGTAAAACACAATCTCGTTTTGTGTACTGTAGGTAATACACAATCTCGTTTTGTGTACTGTAGGTAATACACAATCGTGTTTTGTAAACTGTAGGTAATACACAATCATGTTTTGTATACTGTAGGTAATACACATTCGTGTTTTGTGTACTATAGGTAATACACAATGGTGTTTTGTGTACTGTAGGTAATACACAATCGTGTTTTGTGTACTGTAGGTAATACACAATCTTGTTTTGTGTACTGTAGGTAATACACAATGGTGTTTTGTGTACTGTAGGTAATACACAATCGTGTTTTGTGTACTGTAGGTAATACACAATCTTATTTTGTGTACTGTAGGTAATACACAATCTTGTTTTGTGTACTGTAGGTAATACACAATCTCGTTTTGTATACTGTAGGTAATACACAATCGTCTTTTGTATACTGTAGGTAATACACAATCTCGTTTTGTATACTGTAGGTAATACACAATCGTCTTTTGTATACTGTAGGTAATAGACAATCTCGTTTTGTATACTGTAGGTAAAACACAATCTCGTTTTGTGTACTGTTGGTAATACAGTCTTGTTTTGTGTACTGTAGGTAAAACAGTCTTGTTTTGTGTACTGTAGGTAATACACAATCGTGTTTTGTGTATTGTAGGTAATACAGTCTTGTTTTGTGTACTGTAGGTAAAACAGTCTTGTTTCGTGTACTGTAGGTAATACACAATCGTGTTTTGTGTATTGTAGGTAATACAGTCTTGTTTTGTGTACTGTAGGTAAAACAGTCTTGTTTTGTGTACTGTAGGTAATACACAATCGTGTTTTGTGTATTGTAGGTAAAACAGTCTTGTTTTGTGTACTGTAGGTAATACACAATTATGTTTTGTGTATTGTAGGTAATACAGTCTTGTTTTGTGTACTGTAGGTAATACACAGTCTTGTTTTGTGTACTGTAGGTAATACACAATCGTGTTTTGTGTATTGTAGGTAAAACAGTCTTGTTTTGTGTACTGTAGGTAATACACAATCGTGTTTTGTGTATTGTAGGTAATACAGTCTTGTTTTGTGTACTGTAGGTAAAACAGTCTTGTTTTGTGTACTGTAGGTAATACACAATTATGTTTTGTGTATTGTAGGTAATACAGTCTTGTTTTGTGTACTGTAGGTAATACACAATCGTGTTTTGTGTACTGTAGGTAATATACAGGCTTGTTTTGTGTACTGTTGGTAATACACAATCTCGTTTTGTGTACTGTAGGTAATACACAGTCTTGTTTTGTGTACTGTAGGTAATACACAGTCTTGTTTTGTGTACTGTAGGTAATACACAATCATGTTTTGTATACTGTAGGTAATACACATTTGTGTCTTGTGTACTGTAGGTAATACACAATCTTGTTTTGTGTACTGTAGGTAATACACAATCTTGTTTTGTGTACTGTAGGTAATACACAATCTCGTTTTGTGTACTGTAGGTAATACACAATCTCATTTTGTGTACTGTAGGTAATACACATTCTTATTTTGTATACTGTAGGTAATACACAATTGTGTTTTGTGTACTGTAGGTAATACACAATCTTGTTTTGTGTACTGTAGGTAATACACAATGGTGTTTTGTGTATTGTAGTTAATACACAATCTTTTTAATAAGATTTTTAGCATGATGATCTGCATAATCATATATCTACTGCTTCATTCACATCAGTGACATACATCTCTAATCCCATTTTCTAGTCCTATTTGTTTTCCTAGTTCGTAATGTTCTTCCTGTACTCTTCCTTCCAACCCCATAATTTCATTTTATACACACCTCTGATAATGTAACTTTTCCGTACTAATTTCTGAAAACGTAATCTTAACGTACTTACCTGAGATATTGTAACTTTTCCGTAATTACCTCTGATAACATAATTTTTACGTTACTTACCTGAGATAATGTAACTTTTCTATAATTACCTCTGATAACATAATTTTTACGTTACTTACCTGAGATAATGTAACTTTTCTATAATTACCTCTGATAACATAATTTTTATGTTACTTACCTCCTATCATTGTAACTTTTTCATAATTACCTCTGATAACATAATTTTTATGTTACTTACCAGTGATAACATTGTAACTTTTTGGTACTTACCTCTGATAACATAATTTTTACGTTACTTACCTGAGATAATGTTATTTTTTCGTAATTACCTCTGATAACATAATTTTTACATTACTTACCTGAGATAACGTTATTTTTTCGTAATTACCTCTGATAACGTAATTTTTACATTACTTACCTGTTATCATTGTAACTTTTCCATAATTACCTCTGATAACATAATTTTTATGTTACTTACCTCCTATCATTGTAACTTTTCCGTAATTACCTCTGATAACGTAATTTTTACATTACTTACCTGTTATCATTGTAACTTTTCCATAATTACCTCTGATAACATAATTTTTATGTTACTTACCTCCTATCATTGTAACTTTTCCGTAATTACCTCTGATAACGTAATTTTTACATTACTTACCTGTTATCATTGTAACTTTTCCATAATTACCTTTGTTAACATAATTTTTATGTTACTTACCTGTTATCATTGTAACTTTTCCGTAATTACCTCTGATAACATAATTTTTATGTTACTTACCTGAGATAATGTTATTTTTTCGTAATTACCTCTGACAACAAAATTTTTACATTACTTACCTGATATAATGTAACTTTTCCATAATTACCTTTGTTAACATAATTTTTATGTTACTTACCTCCTATCATTGTAACTTTTCTGTAATTACCCCTGATAACATAATTTTTACGTTACTTACCTGAGATAATGTAACTTTTCCATACTTACCTCTGATAACGTAATTTTTACGATACTTACCTGTAATTACATTGTAACTTTTCCGCACCGGTGGTTCTCGTGGTACACCTGTCCCTAACATGTGTCCTAGCTTGTTATGAATACGACCATACTGTGACCAGTAGTTTGGTTGGTTCTTATCCGATTTGATTGTATGTTTCATATCACCACCCTCTGTCTGGTCGATACGGTTGACTAGTGACGTCATGTGTAGTCGATTGGCCTGATAAGACATACAGGTACCAAATCAGTACATTTACATCAATATGGCCCTACATCATCATAATGCTTTGTTGTTAAATAAAGGTTATTACACAGTCAACTTCAGATATGGTCAAGTTTAAAACTACCATCTTTGATCATGTGAGAAATTAAAAAAAAATGCAGACTCTTAGACCCTACTGGAATCTCCATACCATAAAAGTAAATTCTAGTACAAAATTTCTGGTCATATTAAAATATTTCCAGACTCGTGCCAAAACTTCAACAATGACATGTCAACAACATTATGACATATGATTCAAAATATTTGTCACATTTTTTCTGAAAACAAGATGTGATGCCCTTTTGGAATCAACATAACAAACATGAGATAACTTAACATTAACTTAAAAAACAAGAGTGCTATTGAAGGTTATAGGCCCTGAATTTGGTATACTGGACATTCTCTCAGTATGACCAATGTATACACCAACTTTCATGGTCCTAGTTTTAATGCAAGCATAGCTATGCTCATGACACAAAACAATGAACAATAACTCTGTAATTATAGAGTTGCGGCCCCTAATACTGGTACACTGCACATTTTCATATGATCAATGTATACACCAAGTTTCATTTTCTTACTTTAAATGCAAACAAAGTTATGCTCTGAAAAGATATTTTTGACAAAGGGTGATAACTCTGTAAATGAAGGGTCGAGGACCCTAAATTTGATTCACAGAATTTTGTCTTAGTATGATCAATGTATACACTAAGGTTCATTATCCTTGCTTATCTGTGGGCAAACTTGTGTCCAGACAAGAATTTTTTAATGAAGGGCAATAACTCTGTATTTGAGAGGCAAAGGGCTCTCAGTATGTCTTAGTATGATCAATGTTTCCACCAAGTCCCATTCACCTAATTTAATTACCAGGAATCCAAAGTTGTGCTCTAGGCCTGAATTTGGTACACTGCACTTGGTCTTAGTATACTCAATGTATACACCAAGTTTCAATATCCTAGTTTAAATACAAGCAAAGTTATGCTTTGTAATTGAGGAGTTGAGGGTCATGAATTCAGTACACGGCACATCCCCTTAGTGTGACCAATGTATAGACCAAGTTTCAGGATCCCTGCTAAAATGTGGGCAAAACTATGATCCGGATACGAAAAAATGGTATGAAAAGATGGACAAACAGACAGGCGAACAAGGCGGCGAGTATATGCACCCCTGAAAATTTTCAGGGAACATAAAATAAAATAACAGAACAAAAGTTCTAGTCAATAAAATGTCTGAATAATTTGGACTCACTTTACTGCTGCCTTTTACACAACAATACTTTGACATTATTATTGCTTGGCAACAAGTATATCATAAAGGATGAAATAAAAAGTGGCTAATGAAAGAAAGGCCACTTTATTTAGATGTGCAGAATTTTAATCAAAACCATAATTTTTTTCATGTATTTACATACAAATACAAGTCAATATGTAAGCTAGATAATGAAAAAATGTTGTTTATGAGTGTGTAATGATTTTGTCACCAAAAATTCCCATTATATAAAAAATCACATCACAGCTATTCAAAACTATTAATTCCCAACTGACACCTAAATCCATCACCATTCGATGAAGACATGATGATAACATAGACACGACTCTAACTAGTAGTAGCTTCATCAATTAGTTAGGAACAAAGAAAACTACAAATATCATCAGTTTATTTATATAGTTTTAATTATTCAGTAATTAACATCAGGGAGATGTCAGTGAGCGATGAATTTATTATTCTGAAGTAAATATGAAAAAGTGTATTTCTTTAAAATTCCACAACTGAAAGGATGAGACAACAGGGAGAGATATCTCATGTCTCCCATCCCCTTGCCATAAAGGCAAATAAAAAACTATCTGATATCAAATGATATTGTTGTGAATAAATGAAAACACACTATTTATTTTTACCTTTCGTTTGTTGAAAGATCCCTGAAAAGTGCACATTGTATTGTGGAATAATGAAATTAACACTATCAAAATGACATTTATCAAATGTCTGTATTCATTTTGCTTGGCTCATCTCTCCAAAATTGTCTTATGATAAATTGAGTGCAAAATATTATGTCATTGGTATGGATTCTTTGATCCCTAGAAATTTTACTTAACTATGACTTCAAAACTAAAATGAGAAAGTAAGACTTCAAGCGAATCTATATAAGAAACATCAAAGGAAACAGATAGCAGTTAAACAGATAGAACAAGGAAAATTCATTACTACTATAGTGACAATTAATCAAATGAAAAATATGATAATGTTGGTTTATTCTTAAACTCCACTTAACTTTCTTAGTCATAATAATTATTGTATTAATATATTACAATTTATTTTTAGTCTTTATTTATTGCAAAAATTGCATTTAATTGTGCCATCATTATTTCTAAGAAATAAGTTATTTTAAGCAACATAAGTATTTAGAATTACTGTTTTTCCATGCAGTGTAACTTGATTACATCTAGTACATCAGTAAATTTGTAAAGTAATTGAATATATTCTAAAGTTAGAATTGGATAGACATCTACAGTACCTGAACAAAACAACCAAGCCAGATAATATACAGATTTTTTTATGTACTGAAATGATATTTCATCAATTTTGATGATACACAACAGTGCACCTCATTTTGCATATCTTTGAAGTTAGCAATTAGATCTGCAGAAAACACGAAAAAAATTTCTTTCTCAAAAAAATTGTAAATACATTCTTCAAGAGATTTACAAAACTAGGGGAGCAAATAGAAATCATTTCTGTTGATATAATTTGTCAGTTAATGTATTTAAGTGAATTTAATATAACAGTATGAATACCCTCATTGTTAATGAATGTTAATATATGTATATTATGATAAAAATTATGGGAATCCTTTTGCAGTTTTCAAAGATACACAATATACTTCGTTTAAATCCTAGAATATTGACCAGATGTATGTCATAATCCCTGATATAAAGTAATGATAAAATAGAAATATCATAGTTATCTTGCATTGATTCTAAATATATTCCTGATGACGATTATAACAAATTTGTGAGAAGTAAAACAGATACATCGTAATCCACGCTGATTAACCATACAAAAGGCAGTGTATTTACATAAAACATATTCATATACATGTATTCTCTGAATATGATGTCAAGAACAAATAAAATATAAAATTGTTTCCAGTTGCCTTAGGTTACAAGAGTAAACATAAAGTTAGATTTTCAAGATTTCAAACAAGATCACATTTCTATTCTGTTTCCTTGTACCTTCAGGTGGCAAGATCATCCTATGAAGGACCTGTTTACTTCTCACACACATTTACACTATTTATATAAGACCAAAGGATAGTAGTGATGAGATATCATGTAAACTTTGACCTATGTAATTATCAGCTTCCTCTCTAATGAGACCACCCCCCCCTCCCCCCCAATATCTACTACCTCCATGTTGAGACCACCTACCAATAACATTCACCTCTCTATTGAGATCACTTTAGAAAATCAACCAGCTCTGTTCCCAAAATCAGCTACTTGTATATTGAGGCCACCTCTCCAAAATGATCCACCTCTATACTCTATACAACTTAGAATATCAACCACCTCCCAATTAAAAAATCTCTCAATAAAATCATCTCTTCTTATCAATGCCATTGCCAGTCCTCAATTAAGGGAACAAGTCACTAATGAATTCTATATCATGGTCCTATAAGCCAACATAATTGGCTTTCAGTAAGATGTCTATAATGTGTTGGCCCCCCTGAACTTTTCAAAGGATAAATATGGCAATATTTCAACTTTCTTAAATCTCCATAGATATTTTACAAAAGCCATATCCTACACAAACTGTTCAATATATACTTACAACCATCTCTATTTTTGAACACCAATAAGTTGGATATCATGAAAGCATTGTTATTCAACTTCATGTTATCATTTTAACACAGTCTAAATTATCACCTTTATGATAGAAAGTATACAAGTGTGATTATAACTCTTTTGGAAAGGAGGTCAATTCTCAGTAAGGTAGCATACATCCTTAGCCTCAGACACAATATGTAGGTTATAGAATTTAATGTACGGTAGGCTTTTAAGTTTACATGACATCACTGCGGAATTAAGAGAGACTATGTAAGGTGAAATACACTGATGATTAAGAAAGACTAAATACCATTAAGCTACAAGATATTAAAACTTACTCGTGCTGTAGCCTGGAAGGAGAGAGATAGCGCCCACATACCGTTAATTAGTACAAAGTTGTTGTATAGATGGGTATAACAAAGAAAAACAAGAGTAATCAGGAGATCTTTTACAAAAGACAAATTGTTAATATATTATTATAAAATGTGAATATTACATATCAAGAGCAATCGGAAATCATCTACTGAGCCAATATTTACCAATATCATCAAAGGAAATACACATATATTGTATTACTGACTTGCAATGTTTAACATAAATCTTAGGATCAGTATGAAAAGCACCGGTGCGTGGCACAGAATCCTATTACAATATGTACATACTGTACTTGTTACACATGGAACAAGTGTTTATGATCATTGTGATATAACCTTGTGCTCTGAGGTAATCAGTGATCAAAAACATTTTTAAGTTTGAAAAATAAAATAATTTTTTTCTCAAGCCCTATTTTTCGAAAGTGATATGGCTCCAAGATGGAGAAATAAAATATGCTAATTTCATTCACTTAATTTGAATTTGATTTTAATTTCTTCAAAATTTGAATAATTTACATTTTCTTTACAAATTTTAAATGTATCACATTTCAAACCAATCACCTTGATGCAAAGCAATAAAATTGTTAATGATATCTGAAAAGAGGTGACAAGAAGATGGTCCTATACCTACCGGGATAATTTCTTTTTCATGGAAGGTACCCTTATAATGAGTATCCCAATATTTGTCCTGCTTGTGCTGACCAATGTCCCACTGGGACTTGTGCATGGAGGGACATCTTGGGGGACGTCTCACAGGGTTCAGTGACTTGCTGCCACCAAAATACTGAAGCAGAAAAATACGGGTAAACAAATTTCAATCATCCTTAGTCACACATTGGATGACCAGTATATCAGTGACCAAAACAACCCGATAACGAAAGTCAATATTTACTTAATGACTCTGGTGTATAATTCTGTCTTACTTTATAAAAGTCTAACCCAACCTCCAAATGAGCAATGTCAATGCAATCTTTGTTATTGATTTCTTCATATTTCTTTCTTTCTTTCTTATGTCCTTCTTTCCTTCCTTTCTCTATCTCTTTTTCTTCCTTTCTTTCTTTCAATTTTTCTTTCATTCTTTTCCTTCCTTCTTTTCTCTATCTCTATTTCTTCCTCTCTTTCATCATTCTTTCATTCTTTTCCATCCTTCCTTCCTGTATCTTTTTCTTTCTTTCTTCATCAAATGCTCTTGTATATAGTTAATAACATTAATACTGAAATATTATTAAACTGAATTTTTTCATTTAAAACATATTTCTATAAATTCAACATGTAAATACATGACTTTCCTCCCACCCTATGCTACCTCTAACTCTGTGACATGAATACACTAAGTAGCAGTGACAGAATATTTTTCCTGTGATCGTCTTCTACAACAAAACAAGGTCTAAGTAACTAGTACAATCATTATTTCCCAGGCTTTTGTAAGATATAGTTCCACTTCAGAGGAAAACTTGATTTCTAAAGATGATATATTGGCTTATCGAAGTAGGGTAATTATTTTTCTTCAACATGAATAGATCTCAAGCCATGCCCCAGCTGGTTATATCATTAAAAAATCAATTTTGTGCAAAGTCGATAATGAATATTCTACACAAGATGAATTATAGTACACAGAATTGGCAGGTTTGTAAATTGTTCTTTGTATGAGATCAAAGAACCAATATTCTTATACATGTGCAAACCTTTTTTGACAAATTAAAATATATAGTAAAAATCAATAAAATTAGAAAATTAATTCAAAAATGAATATATTGAAGCCTATTTCTTTTAACAGATAAGTAAACCTCGTGATATTTAAAATGTTTTGGAATTACTTGTATGGCATATTTCCTTGAATGATTTATGATCTGTTACAACAGGTACTTACCCTAAAATGTAACTTCAGATTTTATCTTGAGAATATCTTCAGTAATTCTTAAACATGATATTTACTTAGCAATAATGAGAACCCATGTCTGGTAATAAGTCCACCCTCATTTATTGCAGTTTCCATAGATATCCAACAAATCTGGTTACATTTACATGTCTTTTCCTTGTAATGAGCCTACCATACTGTATTGAATCACTGCTGATCCCCACCCCACCAAGACTTAAAACAATTCCAAGCAAATTTAGATATCATGTGAACTTGATGTCAAAACTGATTCTTTTTCTTGTATAGTAAAGCACACAGAAAATAATATTCCTAATATTGCAGTCTCAGAAATAGTCTGCATAACCTCATTTACATGTTGCTTAAAAATATTTCTTCAAATCCTGAAAGTGGAAGCTGATAATTGATTGAAATGAAATTGTATCTGATGTCTGTATTTCTTACCCGAAACTTCTGTTTGTTTTGTGTTTCCATCCTGACACACTAAAACACCCTATTTAATCATTGCTTTCTAGTGAATTTTACCATGACATAGTGCAAATTTTTATTGAAATTAAAACAGCAATATTCAAACTATCTCAACCCTTTATGGCAAAAGTAGACTGTTCCATACATTGATCTGGACAAATATATAAAGGTTTTAAAGGGGTGTACAGGCAACAAAAGAATTAAATCAACTTTGGATTAGATATGAATTAAATTACCAGAATTCAATATGGCTGTGTATTCAGTAAAACATACATAACAATCGGGTTTACATAAAGCCAGATTATATTGTTTGATAGCTTAAGTTTTCTTATTGATCATATGCACTTTTTGTGTACCAAGATACAGCCGTATTTAAAAGTAGTGTTAGCTTAATGAAACCAAGAAGTAATTAAAAATCTTCATTTTTATCCTTTTTTATTTAAACAGAAACTCTTGACATCAAATTTCAAAGTAGACTTATCCAACCATTAATTTTTCACATTTCAGTGTGAATCAAATTTAACTTACAAATTGAACTTCAGCTGATAAAGCTGGATCAAAGACCTTTCCCTATACACATCTGAAGTCCAAGCATTGTTTACATCTAGAACCTGTTAATTAATCATATGATTTAATAACGCTCACCAATCAATCAATGTAATTACCTGTTTATCCAGGCATCATGACTGCTGATAGAGACAAGTACAGCATGATCATAAAACTTATGAAAAAAACCACTGTAGTACTTCATTATATAAGCATTTAGATGAAATCTCGGATGGTGTGAAATAATTTATCTATTATTGATTGACCAATTGTGATTAGATAGTGTGGTTTCATATCATGTTTGATGACAAATTAATCATTCGATCTGCCTCACCATCCCTTCCTATCCACAGCCATTATTGTATGATGTCAAATGTTTCAAGATATTGATAAACATATTGATGTAATTTAGCCAAAGTCTTCAAAAAAATGAGTAATTTTGAAAAGATTTTAAAATCAAACTGGGGAAAAACTTCTATCCAATTTTCAAAACAGAAATAAAAAAAATCATGAATACTCTTATTACTTATAGGCACAGTTATCTAAAAATTACCTGTTAATAATAAAACAAAACAAGTATCTACAATTTATACATGTACCTGGTTTGGTACAGTCTTTAACTAATACACAACCAATGAACGTGAGCAAATATTCAATAAAACATTCATGAAATACAATATATTTACCTTGTATGGTAATTTTATTTAAACCTTGCACCTCTATCTGTATGCGAAATAAAATTCTTCAAATAAAACAGAAAAGTGATGATTGCTGATAATCATGAGTGAACACACACAGGTGTTGATCGGCAGTAGGGGATTCAGTGGGTGGTGTTTGAGTACCAGAGATCTGTTTGTATAGACAATTGTAGTCTCGTACAGGAAGCTTCAAGTACACACTTAATTCTATACAACATTTAGTTGAAAAATGGCAGTAGGTTTATAGATCTCAATTTAAAAACAAACACACAGGCCGGTGAATGGGTCAATATTTATAGTGACCAGGGACAACTAAACGCTTTGACAAGGATTTACGATAAATCTTTAAAAGGCCCAATACAAATCTGAACTGCTAAGGTAGATAGGATTTTAGTTGAGATCTCTGGCTGTAGACTGAAGAGTGTATATAGGTATATATAGATATAAAATCCACCTGGTGAAGTTGTAGATGTACCATATACATCTTTTTTATGACCCTTCCTATTGAAAACATCTGTATTTTAAGTGCTAAACCAAAATCAAGAAGCAGGTCAATTTTCCAGAATAAATATTAAAGGTGTACATCATTTTTGTAGATAAAAATATCAGATTTTGTACAAGATAAATTTATAGATAGGTATTATATGTATATTTATATATAGGTCCTATACTTTGCTTTAAATACACATATTATATTGTGGTTGAAATATCATATCATTTGTGCAGTAATGAATGAGGCAAGTTTAAAAGATTTTCCATACTACAGTTTAAAGAAATTATTGGAAATGTGTATCATAGTATTCTAAATTGCAATGTGTTATACCTTACCAGAAAAAAACAGAATAATGAAGAATACTTGAGTGTTTAAAACAACATTATCTCCAGCCTCGACTCTGTAAAGCATAAGACCACACTAACAATTTTGTTGCAGTCTGTGTTTACAATTTCAAGCAACATTTTAAACTCTAACAATACTATCAGTGTTGATATGGTAGGTTCAGAATCCAGTCAAAACAACACTTTTTTCTGCTTGTGACTAGTTTTACAGGTATTAATGTTAACGAATAATAGATGATGTTAACGTCAAAAAGGTCAGATACGAGAGATGGTTGGAATATTCAGGTTTTTTTGTAGTAAATTGGATTATGCAAGATGTGAGAATACTTAGGGACCAGATTCACAGTATTTAGAATGAAGTTTTTAAAAAAATCAAACAAAGTCCTGTGATATTGAAGTCGCAGCAAACTCATGTAGAATGTACCATTGTTTTCCTTCATTTCAAAATGATTGATACATTATGATGAAAAAATTATTGTGTTTATTTACACAGACACACTGGAATTGATAACAGGAACTTTTTCCGACACATTTATAATCTAAGGCAGGATATATCATACCTAGCATAAATCAACAGGCATGAAAATGGCAACAGAAAAATAGGACTGTATACTGACATAAGTGAATAGAAATCTGCCAACATCTTTCTACTTAAGCTATGTCGTCTTCCACTTGCTGACTCTACCCAATCATCACCTGTTTATTCCAGTGTTTGCTTTTTGATATTGAATTCCTCAGCATTAATTCCAATCAACACCCAATGTTTACTGTATAAAGTATAAAACCCATAACTGGTAACAGACCTCCCACATCTGATGGAATTTCTATACAAATGCTCTATCATTCCGTGTAATAAGCCCAACCCCTAACGTTGAGTCACAATTTAGGGCTTCTTGCAAGAGAAATACAGTTCTTTCCAGCAGAACACATCTATCTTAAATTAACAATCTACAATATTTTTCTAATGCCATTTTCCAGGTGCCAAACTTTACATTATTCTATCATGCCTTGTCTAATCAAACCGTAACCTCTCCAGCAACCCTCTTCTCCATGGGCTGTCTAGGCCATCATCTGTCAAGGATAATAATTCTTTAGGTAAACACTTCTCTGGTCCAACAACTCTCTACGCTAACACCTCTCTAGCCCAACAACTCTCTGGGCTAATACCCCTCTAGCCCAACAACTCTCTGGGCTAACACCCCTCTAGCCGCAACAACTCTCTGGGCTAACACCCCTCTAGCCGCAACAACTCTCTGGGCTAACACCACTCTAGCCCAACAACTATCTGGGCTAACACACCTCTAGCCCAACAACTCTCTGGGCTAACACACCTCTAGCCCAACAACTCTCTGGGCTAAC